CACTTCAGGTATCCACCATTGCTTATGTTTACCCGGTGGTGCCTTATTTGGTGAGTTGTTGTTTAAGGCGTCGGTGATAGTCTGTCTGAGAGATCGGTCAAAAGAGTCAATATCTTCTTGTGATGTTAGTCGTGTTACCTTGGGTAGAGTTGTTTTAAGTTCTAAGAGTAAGTTTGCTGTTTCAACTTTGTTCCAGTTTTTTTGTTTGGTCGAGTTCGGGTGTGGCGTGTCGTTTGTCTTTGTGGAAAAAGTCGTAATGAGAGATTGGTGGTCTGAGAAATGGTTCGTGATGTCCTCGGTGTCTACGAAACAGGCTTGGATGACATCGTCAAGCTGCTCATTGACCCACACTAAATCGATTGTGGTTCCTTTTGTGGTTGTTGAGTTGAGTCCAAAGGTTGGTTGGCCAACAGGTGATCGCAGCCGTAAGTCCCATTTAGACATGATGTCTATTAGGTCGTTTGCTGATTTATCTGATGTGTTGCTGTGTATTGGATTCCAAGCCGGTGAGTGTAAATTGGTGTCTGTTACTACAATTGTTGGTAGTAATTGTAGGGAAAGGGGTAAATTGGTCATTAGCGCGTCCCACGCCTCAAATCCTGTGAAGGTTTCGGGCGCGTTGTAAACATTGGTAATCAAAAGAGAGAAATCGTTGATCTTAATTGTACATGCGGATATGTCTCGCGAAGGGGAGGAAATTGGGTTGAGAGCCACTTGGAGGTCTTTCCTAACGTATAGGCACGACCTCGGGCGCGAGTCTTCATTCTTCTCTGCTGGTGTTGGGCTAATTAAAGTCCAGTTTGTTTGATTTGGTGGTAGGTAATCAACTTTGTTGATATGAGGCTCCTGGATGGCTATTATGGAAAACTCATTAGTGAGGTCGTGATTAAATAAAGAATGCATTACATGTTGGGAGCGGTGGCAGTTCAGCTGCAGCACCGCCATTGTGTCTTGTGAAGTTAATAGTTCTCGCAGGTGTTGTTCTATCATGATGATATATTCATGTCGCTGCTTTCTATTATTACGATCTTTGGCGATCCGCTAGGGTTGTAAGGAGGTTTGTTTGCGGCTATCCTTGTTGGGCACGCTGGGCTGAACGGGTGATGTATAAAATCAGCGTGGTTGGATTTGAAGATTGCTTTGATATCTGATGTTGGGTCAAGCTTGACTTTGTGTCTTACACACGCCGTGCATTTCATGTCGGTTTTGCCCTTTTGGGGGCAGACATGTGTGTGATGCTTTTCTCCGCAGAACGGGCATAGAGGATCAAGTTGACAGCTCGTTGCCGTATGACCTGGCTTCTGACAGTTGTAGCAGCGTTGTGGGGGTGGGCCACTTCGAAGAGTGGTATGTCTACCTCTCCCGTGCCAAATCTTTTGTTTGATGCATTGCTGAACTTCGTCGTCACTGCTCAGGCCAATCAGTATAGACGAGTGTCTTTTTGAAGGATCCTCAAGCGCTTTTGGGTTCAACCATCTGACAAATTTCATGCCTTTGAGAAGATTGTTATTACTTGTTTGTAACTCTTCTCTATGGTCTGATAGGTCTGGATCAAATGTTGTAGGTATTCCATTCACTATGATTTCGTGTCTAGATTCTTTCATTTTTAAAGATTTGGAAAAACCTTGAACCCATAAATTGGGCAGGGTTCGCACTTTGGTAGCGTGTGCCGCTGTCTCGAAATATATATCAATGTCGTTTGACGGATGGCGTCGCACGCTCTTTGCTTCTATAGCCTCAGTGTCCTCAGGTTTCATTTTTACCTGATAAGCTCTGAGCGCCACATTGATCTCTTGGATGAGTTTGGCATTGGGTAAATCAGGGTGCGTGATTTCAGCCCCCACTTCGTGAACTAACGTTATGGTGTTAGTAGGCCTTGTTTTTGGTGGCGTTTTAGCCGATTTAGCTTTTGGTTTTGGCGGCAGAGTGGTCGTCTTGCCAGTTGTTGGAGCATGTTTAGATGCTGCTAGTGCATACGATGGAGTCATTGGTGTCTTTTTTGAGGGTACAGGTATGTTCTTCTGTCCCATTGTTGTGGTGAGTATGGCGAGTTGCTCAACGATCATATTTAATGTATCGTCGGTCTCTTTACCCTTGAATATTATTGAGCGTTTCTGGGTTTGACCGCTTAACGCTTCAGGCGTTGTGTAATTACGACGAGCGTCTTCATACATGATTCTATCATATACGGCACCGGTTAAGACGAGAATATCTGCAGCAGATTCTACGTCAACCGAAATCTGCTTGGTCCTAGCGGACTTATTGGCGAGTGGGAAACCCGCTTTGATCACCTCCAGGAGTTTGCTTACCATGTCCTTGAGTGACGTAGGTTCGGCAACTCCTGGGAACAGATCATGCATTCTGTTCGATCTCGGTGTGCCCGTTAACTCGGCAGCTTGATATTCGGCGGTTACGCCCGGCGTTTCAAGACGACTTCTCTTCTTCGAGAAGCTTCCAAGATCGGAAGCCTGAATCGAGGGAGATTGAGTCAACCCTTGGCTGAGTTTCGTTTTATCGAAAACGAGAGGAGTAGGGGGGATGGACGATTTGGTCCTTTCTTGGGGCCCGACCGGATTGATAAACGCGTTGGACGCGTCGCGAGTTGGAGTAGTGTTCTTTGGAACACTCTTCTCCTTCTGGCCCGTATCCGGCGCGTCGTCGACCTCCATAACGGCCGTTATCGCGTGGAGAAGGTGGTTCAATGGGGTCGAAAAGATTAGGATAATGAGATTTTGAAATCTGGACGAGTACTTGCGCAGTCACGGATCGGGTCACGTGACTAATTGCTGATTCGTGGTCCTTTCCCGTAGGCTTAGGTGTGCCAAATATTCCTAGAAATAGGGGGAGGTCCACCCATATGATAATCTGAAGCATAGAAGGTATTCATGGGCCTAATCTTGGGCTAGAGGAAGCCTATTACATCGTCATTTTGGTCTGTGTAACTTTCAAGCCAGAGAAATTCCTACAGGTTTTTTGCTATGTATTGATTGCTCATCCGAGTTGCAGGACCCTTAAAGTAGTTCTTGAACAAAGATGGTCTCTGACTTTCATCTCAAAAATGTGGTTTTCTTGACTCGAAACAGCTTTTCTCATGTCCTGATTTGTGTTTGAGCTTCATCATAGCCTTGATTGCTGTTTTTGAGAGATCATTTTCATGTTTTTCTGTTTTTTTTTTGCTCGAGAGCTTGCTATTTCGGCGCGTCCCAGACAAAGGAGTCTGCGCCTGGGCGCGCCTCTCTCTGTCAAATACGCGCCCGTGGTGGTTCTTGGAGTCAGAGCTGGGCTTGGGAACACTCATCTTACAAGGTTGGTTGCAAAAGGTCAAGAAGCTCTTTATCTTGCCTGGCATCCACTCTGAATGTTTGTTGGATTTGAATTTCTTACGATTTCCAGTGCAAAGGTCATGAAGTAGGTCATGAAGTAGGTCATGGTCAGGGTTCTTCATAAAAACCAATTCAACATTCATCCGATTCCATCATCATTCCTCAGCATTCTTCATCGATCGAATCATGAATCAATCCACTTCACTTCCTCAAGAAGCTCTTTTACTATTATCGGGTCATCTCAAATCATTATCAATCTCAAGACCATCAACTCATCATTCATTGACTCTAGAAACTGAACCGAGTTTAACCCATTCGATCAAATCACTTCATTCGATTGCTAATCTACATCAATCGATCATCAGTTTCATTCAATCTAACCAGTCCATCAACTCTTCAAACTCTTTAGCTTTAGCTTCACTTGCTTCAGCTCTCAGTCGTGAACTGGTTCAATATCAATCACTGCTAACTGATTTAGAATTCAGATTATTATCTCATCATTCCACTCTAGTACCTTATGATTCGGATTCACTACCTTCACCACCGCTTTCGGCTATCTTAGCTGAACTTAATCCTTGGAATTCGATCTTCTATGCTCTCAATCAACTTCTTAAACAAATTCAACTTGATCATTCTCATTGGACGACTCCTGAACTCATCGAATTACTCTTTCAACATTCGCTCACTGGTTCGCCACAACTTTCTGGAATCTTCAATCGAACTCAAGTCTCAATTGAACATCTTTGGATCGATGCTTTTAGATCTTTTGTCATCTACGGTCAACGTCCTCGAGAACATCTCACAACTCATCCCAATCATCATGATCGACAATTGATCGATGACCTCTTCTTGGCTCAACGTGCTCGTCCTCCTGGCACAACTACTGATCAAATCAAACATCAACCTTTGATATATCTTCTCAAACCTGATGCTTTACCTCATCTACCTTCTCTCAATCCTCATGCTGGAATCCTTCACTCGGTCTCTCAAATCTGTTTGGCACTTTCGATACTCAGTCATCTTCATCAACTTAAATCAAACCGATCACGTTCTAGTAGGCTCGCACCTCTCAAGCTAGTCCTTCCTACTCAATTACAATCTCAACTTTCTAACACGCTTTCAAAGGTCGATCATCTTTCTCATCCTGCCTTTCGTCAAACTATCGAATCAGTTCAAGGTTAGCAACTTGTTTCCAAACCTCGACCTTGATTAAAAATATAAAAAGATCTGAACCCAACCCAATCAATCTCAATAGATATCTTATCAGCTCATCTTTTTACAACATATCTTACACCTGATATCCTTCTCGCTACACTTCGATCACTTGCCGATGTATTCCTCTTCCAACATCCTTCCTTCACCACAAACCTCGTGAACGCATTTAGTAAATTACGACTCACTCGATTGCTTTCGTCTGTTCATCGACAACGCCGTTCGATCACCTTGAGTGAACGTGAATTGGATGTCATTTTACTTAAAGCTGCCCTCAGTACTGATACCGATCAATCTTCCCAACCTATCAATCTAAATGGATTCGGTTTTACACTCTTTTCACTCTCTTCAACCTCTTTGAATGATCTACATCCATCTTCACCAGAAGCGATAGCCACAAAGTTTTCAACCTTATTACTCGATGAACAATTCCCCATGTTACTCACCTTTACTCCAACACCTGATCTATCACTTTTTCTAACCAAGGAATCATGTTTGAGTTACAGTTTGATTAATTCATGTTTGTTTAGTTTCTTAATGGTTAGAGATCGATTAAAAGAATCTTGGATCACATTAGGTAGAAGAGAAAGAGAAAGAAGAAGATGGGGAAAAGAAATCGAATCGGAATCCGAATCTCAAAACGTATTAAGTCGAATGTGTTGGGAGACTCGTAGGTTGATGTCTTGGTGGATAGAAGAGATGATTTCACATTTTTGGATTAATGTGATCAATTTGAATTTGATGAGGTTTATGGATCAACTCAATACGATCAAAACAAACTTGAATTTTAAATCTTTAGGAATCTTACATACTCATTTCCTTTTCAAGGTTTCCTTTGGTTTATGTTTGTTTGAGATCGATTTATTAAAGTCACTCTTGAAGAAATGTTTAAGGCTTTCAGATGAATTAGATTGTTCTGAATTCGAATTGTTTCCTCCTTTACTTTTTCAATCTGATCAAATCGGTCATCAAACTCCCAATGGAAATCCACCAAACGAAGGAATCAATCCGATTAAAGTTAGATTAAAAAAAGTCAAGGAGTTAGGAATCGAATTTAAATCTGATTTAAAAGACTTTTTCGAAATCCTTTCACGTATAAACCATCAACCTGAGAAACCCAGCACAGGACTTGGAGGGATCAGTCAAACCATTGATCAATCTACAATCATGATGGGAGGCATGGGAGGATCGATTCCAGGTTGGTTAGAGTCTTTAGGGAATGGTGATGAAGGTGATGAGGTCTTGAGAGAAAGTAGATTAGAAGTTTCTGTGTTTAAACGAATGGTGATGAGTGAGTTATTGAGTAAGTTGGACTTTTCGGGGTTTTTTAGTGATCCTAGTGGTGATGATAATGAAGGTTTAGAGAGAGTCTTGGATGGAATTTGATTGAGGTTTTGAAGGTTTATGAATTGTTAAGACCAGAGGTCAATGAAGATTGAAATGGGGATTGAAAGTTGAAGATTGAAGGAATTGGTTTAAGAAAGTGAGCAGATTGAGTCGGATAATCTTTTTGAGGTTTGATAGTGATAGAAAAAGATAAAGTCTTCCTAGAAAGTGGATTTGTTCTTTTTTATTTTTTTGGTTCATCAGATCATGTAGATGGTATATGTGATTTGAAGAAAGAAAAATAGACTTCAAACTCCAAAACATGACAAAAACCTTTGAAGTTCTTGAGACTTGTAAACTTTATAGGTTATGACTTTTTGTGGTCATTTAAAGTCTGATTGAAAAGGTTGTGAGGTTTTATTGGAAACATTTGCCTTTTTGATCAAATTAATTTGATTGATATTTGAGGCAACCTTTTACTCCAAGTGATATGATGGGTATTGGTTTTGGGCCTATCATGAGCTATGTATGATGGGACCTAGGCCTCTATGGTACATTTATTGAACATGGTACTGTGCTGATGTTCTGCTGCTCTCCATCTGAGATATCTGCCTAACCCCATGGTAGCTTTTCAATATCCAAAAGTGATTGCAAAAGTGGAAGGTGACTTCACTAGCCTTTGACTCCTGACTGTGATGATCACAAAGAGGAATTTTCCTGCGTGTGATTAAACAAGCCTCGGGCCTTTGGCGCAAGGGACTTAGTTAAGTTTGGACTTCCAGCTAAAGTCACACTTTTCAACTCACAACGGCAGAATTTTTAGCCATTTTTTGTTTTGGCCCATCATGAGGGTCACAGACACCTCATAAAATTGCTCATCCAGACAGGCATAGCTTCCTTAACATCCTATGCCTCTCCTTCCGCCATTTTCAGATTCTCACTGCAGGTAGATTTACTGCTATTTTGATTCTTGGACACTGTGTTTTCGGGGTTTCAAGTGGTGGGTCCTGTATTGAATTGTGTGTTGCAGCTACAAGTTTTTACAACTCTTCTGAGTGAGTTTGATGAATGAAATGTGTGTAGAAACCATTTAGAAGTTTTAAGAGAAGACCCCTTGAGCTGCAAGTGTCATCTTATGAGGTCTGTGACCCTCATGATGGATGATCAAGGAAAAAAACTCAAAAAAACCGCTGTTACAAGTTGAAAAGTAGCACTTGAGCCTTAAGTCCTTCCATAAACTTCTTGGATGGAGGGGACAAGAGGGGCTATCCGGCTCCAGCCCCGTCATCCTGTAGGTTATTACTAACTATAGAACATTCTACAAGAAGTACAGAAGGGTTATAGCAACTAGGCTGTGACCCAACCCTGTGAGTTCACGTTCAGCCTGGTGCCAAATACAACCCTGAGTGAGCCCAATGATCTCTGAAAACTGCTCAGGGCCAACCAGGGCCCGTAGGAGACTAGCATGAAGGCATTTTTCAGCAAAAAAGGGGTCCGGCACCCAAGCCGCCTGAAGCACCCACAGGGCCATATTCAGCTGTCATCAAGCCAAATTTAGAGGCCCCAGGGCACATACCTTCAGCTCTGTGAAAGGTGTCAGGTAGAGTTGGTTGGGCAGGGCCAGGTCCAGGTCACAGCCCTAATAGCAACCCATGTCACGTGACACTGCTTACCAAGGAATAAAAGGATTTTGTTATTGTGTGCAGCAGTTTTGAGAATAAATGTCACCTGTTTCTTTTTATTTTTTTATTTTATAAGGTTGCACTAAACTTTATTTACCTAGATTCTACATAGAGCATTGTGATCCACCTTTCCAATCTCCTCCCACCTTTCTGCTGCTTGCAACCATACCAAAGGTTGTGCATTTTGGGTACAAAGGAAGCAATGATGCTGAAAGATAAGCAAGATTGTGATCTTTCACAATCCTTGCACCCTTGAATAAGTTGACTACAGCTCTTATGTAGAATCTGGGTGAGTAAGTTGTAGTGTAACCTCAAAAAACATGAAAAAATAAAAACAAGCAGACAACATTTATTCTCAAAACTGCTTTGTACTTTCTGGACGCGCTTACAGTACACAGGATTTTTGTGAAGGTTTGGTAGTCCTGCTCATGATAACAGCCACAAAAGAAATTTTTAATTTAGTTACGCTCAACCTACATAGCTAAGTTTAGTGTGATATGTGAAATCAAAAGCACTTGAAAAAAAAATGACAGGCCCGCCCCTGGTAGGTGAGAAAGAAATCCAAGGGAAGAAACTCTGATAGGCAGAGTGTTTGTAGGATAGTGAAGGTAAGAAAGTGACAGCGCACTCTTAGGATATCTGGGGGAAATAAAGAAGTTGATGATGAGGAAGGCCGAGAGCATTGAAAGGTTTTTCTACTGAGACCCAGGCAATACTCGCTCAACTTACAGTTATCCCTATATGTGTTTTCCCCTTTGAATATCTACATGTGGATACGTGGAAAAGGATGCACCGGTGAAAGGATGGTACCGTCAGCCTTTGGTTACCATCTGCCGTTTCTTGACTTTGTCGCTAAAGTGTCTTGTGCGCCAAATACAAAGTCACACCGCGGGAATGATTAAGTTCAAAACTTGATTGAGCGAAGTTGCGGTGTCCAAGTCCGCAACTTTGCTCAATCACGGATCTTGTTCACATCACGTTCACAATTCGTTCACAGGTTTCTACAATGGACGAGAGAGGAGGGTGGAGGACAAACCTCAAAACTCAAAACACAAACTCTGTATTGCCCTGTACAGTCTGTACAGGGCAATACCAGATACTCAATTTTTGAGTAACTCTCATGAATCCTCACGAGAACATCATAGAAACAATCCAGATAATGCCAGAAACGATTCCAGACTGCTCCTGATCAAGAATGTTGTTGAGTTGTTGGATCAGCATAGAAATTCAGGCACCAGATCATCAAAGAAACAATTTAAAATCGTGGTGATGAGTAATACCCCATTCATGCATTATCTTATTGCATTGCTCTACTTCAACAATCATGTAAGGTTTTTGTCTTTCTTAATCATCTTTTCATGGGGTACAATGGAGAACAAAAAAATCAACTTTTGAATGTTGTATGCCTACTCTCATCTACAGATCTCACACAAAGATGATGTGTACCATTGAGTGTAGCTTCATCTCATTTTGATTATATCAATTGATGAAAAAGATCATTTTTAAGTTTAATCATCATCAGTCTGAAGATCCGTGTGAGGGCATTTGTATCATGACAGAAGAAAGAAACTGATCATATCACATAAAAATGAAAATACAAATTGTGATCGTTAAACAAATTGAACATTAACAAAATCATCAAAAAAATCAACCAAATCTTGCAACCCTTCATAAATCTGAACATTATCTCTTCCCTTCTTTAATGTTTATCTATCAAATCAAGTACTGTTTAACCTGATGTTTCCACTTGCAATGTAATTCTGATAAAGTTGAAAAGAGTAAGCAACCTACAAAAACCCGTAACTCGAGAGAAAGATCTCATAATTGATTCCCATTTCCATAAATTCAGCAATCAAATAACGGAAAACCTACAAAAGAAACCTAATAAGCAAACTCATGACAAACAAACAAAAGATGAATTCCATTAGAAAAAAGATCATTCTCAAAACTACAAATAAATGTTCAATAAAACTTTGGGGAGAAACTAAGCACTCACAAATGGAATTTCAACCACATCCATATGACTTTCAACTGTTTTGCAATCTGTTCTAATCCCATCCCATTCTAATTTCCTAAGCATTTCTCTGAACCTCTACAAAACCTACAAAGCTCACCACTCACCTTTAAGTTCATTAACTTTCATTAAATAAGCGTATAATATTTTGAAGTTAATCTTTTTGTTTGGTAAAAAAGCCAAAAGAATCCTTTGTTAGTATCTATCATTTTAGTTCAAATCCATTTTTTGACGATTTGGAAACGTACTTTTAATTTTGATGTAATGATTAGACCCCATTCTCAATTTCGAGTCGCCTGGAACTGTCTCTGGCATTGTCTGGATAGTCCCCATGGTGTTGTGGTGAGGATCAATGAGAGTTACTTGAAAATCGAGTATCTGTACAGGGCAATACAGAGTTTGTGTTTCGGGTTTTGAGGTTTGTCCTCCACCCTCCTCTCTCGTCCATTGTAGGTTTCCCCCAAGCTCTACTGATACTCTGCCTTTGTATGTATTCAAGATCAAATTTCAATTTGTCCTTGATGAGCTCCTTTCTTTGTTGGTTGAGCATCTGGAACATTGAAAAAGATTGACACAAGCACAATTCACTGTCCATATCTCTAAAAAGATTTGCCATAAACACACAGTGTTGTTTAACATTGTTGGTTAGCAACCCACATGATGGTGATGGGACAATGGGGCATGGTGAAAGCACTGAGATGAAAATTGGAAAGATGAATTAGATTAACAACAAATGTCAAAGACTGATGACTTGCAAGGGACTTTCTGTTGTATGATTGTTACTTCAGATTGCGGAGGGTAACTGGAGGGAAACCTGTGAACGAATTGTGAACGTGATGTGAACAAGATCCGTGATTGAGCAAAGTTACGGACTCGGACACCGCAACTTCGCTCAATCGGGCTTTGAACTCAATCATTCCCGCGGTGTCAGTGCTTCGAACATTTCAGTGAACATCTTCGGCTGGGTGTAACGAATGCAGACTCTAAGAGATACTAGAGAGTCTGGGGATATCGGACTGCTTATGGAACATCAATGATGCACCTCACAAATTCGCCATGGAAAGGTATTTCGAGAATATCCCACCTTTCCAAAGTACACTAATCTCCCCCCGAAGTTCTTTTAAATGAAATATGTACACACTAGAAGTGATGAAATGAATCACTATTTTTCGATTTTGCAAGATCCATCAGCTTAACACAGCGGCCGCGCAGGGTGGGCTTTGTTAAGCTGAAAGAGCCAAGGCAATAATGTGTTTCAAGATCTGTTCATCGAAAATAGCCTGACTCAGCTACCGCGGCACAGTCAAATTCCGTTATACCACTTCGAGTACCGTAAGTGCATCATCAATAATAATATATATCACACGCAGAACACAGTAGGAATGACTCACTCTTTGCAGATCCTATGAGGCTCAAGAGATTTGGGATTTAGAGATACATTTGCGACGTATTCCGAGATCTCGGACTGGTCTTCAGTTCATAAATTGAGCACCTCTAACTCCATCTCGATGAGAATTCATAAAGTCTAACTTATAGAAATATAACATACTCAATTCCCTTTTCACTTTGCAATGTCGAGATCTTCTTTGAGTCCTCAAGCCAAGGCCATTATCCACAAGCTACACGGCTTTCAATATCCTTCGGTCTATCCTTATGTGGAATGGATTCTTATCGTCTGCAGTATCTTTTACTTCTTAGTGATTATCTTGTGTATCACTATCTTAGCTGTGCCCTTTATTAGAGGTCCAAAAGCCAGAGCCAAACATTCTTGGTTATGGCGTCGTCACTATAGTCAGTTTTTTCACTTTCCCCCTCGCTTCTTCTCTTTGGGTCTCCTTGTCTTATGCTTACTATATATCTGTTTCCTAGAGGGCCATACTATTGCCTACTTTGTACCTAATGGAGGAGCAGCTGTGGCCATTGCTCAAATCTTCGGATGTGCACTCTTTGAAGTTTATATTTTACTCACTTATCAATCTTTACGATCGGCTAAATTTGCTCGGCATCATTATCAGTATCCTTGGCTGACCATCAGTTATTCCCCTGGTAACCCCAAAGTCTCTTTCTTCTTTGCATTTTAAGCTATGGGTCTAATCTTTATCGTTGATATATGGTTTCATCGTTTAATAGGATACTTTGGGTTTTGGTACTCTGCCTTTGGAGCTTTATATACCTGGTACGCTTTTGACTTTAAATCGTGGATTAAATGATTGTTATATCCACTGTCTTATACTCATGGAAACTTCATTCGCCTTGACTTTTTCTCATAGCTTATTTTCGCCTAGTAGGCCCGATGCTAATCGACCTTCCAAAATTTCTTTTTTGCCAAATCCTATCCTTATGAACACTATTTGTATTGGAACACCCATCGTCACTACTCTTGTATCCATTGCTATGGCTATTGAATCATTTGTCAAGACGCGTCAAAAGAATGAAGCTTATGATGAAGTCATTTCTCGGTTGTATGGTGGGATGGATCCTAGTCCTGAGCTGGCGCGGTATTCTGAAGCTGGAAATCAATTCATTGTTCAATTTCGTTGGGTTTCATTTGTTTGGACAATTGCCGCTGCTCTAGCTATTGTCGTACGTATTCATAAATTTCAACTCTTGGTGTTAATATTTCTCAAATCTCAAAATCTCATTTTGGTTTCTTTTGATCTGTGAAACAAATCTTTAGTTTTATTGTTTTACGATTGCACTCTTCCTGAGACTACTAAAAACTACGGTCAATGTTGCAAATGGGAAGAAGAGCTTACTTGGAAAGTCTCAATTAGATAACCCCTTGGTAGTTGGTCAAGAAGAGAGAAGTGCTGTGCCAGCTCGTGCTCGTTCAATGAGTGGGGTTCCTGGTGTCGGCGGAATCAGCTTACCGATGGCCAAAAACACTCAGGTCGCTGAAAGACTTCGGAATGATTATCGTTAGTTTTTCAATTTCTCTAGATGGATCTTTCACTTACAGTTCGTCTTTTCTCCTTTTGTTTCTTCCATGTGTGGTGTGCTGTACTCATAGGGTATTTGGTCTTGTATTGCGGTTTACTTACCATTGTCTTGACGTTCTATCTCGTCGTCGGGCTCCTCCTTACCTTGGATATCGGAAAATCGGTAGAAAGGTTCAGTATGATTCTTAGATTGATCCGTACTCAATTTTTACCCTACTCTCAAAGACTTACATTCTGACTTCGATACTTCTCTCTTTATATAGTAAAGCTTGGAGATCATTGTTTGCTTGGGTGGTAGTCTCAAGTTCTCTTTTCATGACTGGCGCTTTACTTATCCAAAGTGTAAGCCAAATAATATCATCTCTTTTTCATATTTCTAAATTTTCATCAAACTGATCATTGCCATTTCTATCTATAAGTGGAGAGTTCTCGGGGATCGAGATGATGCGCAGGGAGATAAACCCAATCCTGTCATTCAATCCTCAGGGCCCCTTAGTACAGTGGATAAAGGCAAATTTGTCTTTCTATCCTGGACCCAGCCAGAGCGGGGAGCGTTGAAGGATCCAAATGCTCGTGAGAGTGACATCTCATGATACATCCTGTGATACATAAGCCAGAAATGTAGTATGTATGTCACATTATTTATGTTCAAAAGCACAATAATTGATATTTGGTTGTACCTTCCTTTTGGGATCGAGATGATATGAAGGCAGATCAACCCAGTCCTTGAAATCCGCAATGGTCATCATGCTATTTGATCATCCTTGCAACAACTTGTGCATTGGTCTTAGCATCACACAACTACTTTTCTCTTTTCTCTTCATTAAGTTTATTATATTCGTTTTACCTTCCTAATGCGGCATGTGCGAGTCACAGCTAGATGTTTGTTTGTTACACTATATAAAGAGCTGTTGCTTGCATGTTATCTTGCTCTTCAGTCAAACTTGTCATCTCTTCTACTTGACACCTGCCAACAGGTGCCTCTTCTCTTCTTATCGCTCACATGTGATACACCAGCCTTTAGCACTTTATTCATCACTAACTTGTGAGACTCATCAGGTGCCTCTTCTCTTCTCATCACTCATACATGATTAATCAGCTGTTGGAACTTGATCCATCACCAAGTTCTGATTCTCATCAGATCACCTATGCATTCCTAATATTATTGACCCTCTCATTGAACCCTTGGAGCTGCTTAGTACAGTGGATAAAGGCAAGACTGTATTGCTATTCTGGACCCAGCCAGGGCAGGGAGTGTTGAAGGATCCGACTTCTTGTGAGAGTGAGACATCTCATGATCCATCCTGTGATACACCATCCAGAAATTTAGTATTACATAAACTCAAATTTGTACCCCCCTTTGGAACCTTGAAACCTATCATAATTTCAATGTTTTTGCAGGGTAAAGGGACAGGAACTTGAGGTACGTCACATTTGAGTCACCAGAGATCATTGAACTATGGATGCACTAACTTGGTATGACAAAAGTTGGGGATTCAACACCACCAACAAAGATGCCTTGGATTGGAAGATCTGAGGTATCATTGGATGGCAATAGCCTCAGATGCAATGTCCAAGTAAATGATACAACACAATCTTTGAGGGCAAAGATAGCCTTGCAATGATTCCTCGGACACGCAGGCCGAGGGAATGTATACCCAAGGATCCCTTGGATTTCACAATTGGAGGTATCTTTGACGGAAGTGCAATTGAACACATCAAAGCCCTCTTGTGTTATACATTTTCATTTGCCCCCATCCAACATCTTACCTCCACATTAACACTTTGAACTTCTGAAAATTATCAAATTGTGCTTTTAAATATGCCACTCATTCACATCTTCTGAAACATCATCAAAGTATTCATACAGCTGTTTTGAAAATAAATGGTGGTTCCTGCTGTCATTTTTGGAATTTTTATTTTTCATATCCATGGTTTTCAATCTGGTAGGAAAAGCTTGGAAGTGGCTGATGACATGGCCTGAGGTTGTATTGCATTGCTTGCCTGAAGCCAGCTTCAACCCTTGATGCCAACGCTTAATCAGCAGGCTTGAGCCTGCATGAGCTCCATTTCTGATCCCAATAGGGGTAAATAACCCAGACAGACAAAATATCAATTGAGTGCGGATATGAAAAAATAATGGAAAACAACCACAGCAACAATATTTGTTTTTTGAAACTGTTGTAATTTGAAAGCTTTTCATTTTTGACCCTCTGAATTGATACTCAATCTGTTCTCAATGCACTCAATTGCTGATAAGTAACAACATCACCAGCCCCATCCATCCAAATATCACAGCAGTTCAAACTTGAAAAGCAATCAGCTTTTCTATTAAATAGCAACTTAAAAATTCACCTTTTCAAAATCATCTCTTTGGGCATATAGTCAAATGCTTTTGCATTTCATGTTCCTCAATTGAACATTCAATCTGTCCATTACCGCACTCAATTTTTGAAAAGTCCTTAGTTTTGCTTTTAAAAAGCACCTAAATTGATTCATGATCAAATCTTCATTTTTGCCATTATGACTAATCATCAAATGCATTCCAGTCCCCTTTTCAAAAGTGCTCCATGCTTTGGATCAATATTCCTCTTTGGGGAAAATCTGTGGTCATTGTATGATATTTTGGACTCATTGGCTTTTGCAGATTTGGAAGACTGAGGTTGTTGTCACGAAGAAATCTTCACCTGGCCTTGAACTTCCTCACACCATTGTGCTTTTGACTGAAAAGCACCTCATGTCATGATGACATGTGTGAATCCTGGCTTTCATCATTTATTCAAATGACTGTTCTTGAAGAACTGTTGAATTTTTTCTACATGATTCATATAAGACCCAATATTGAATTGACATGATAGCCACCAATCTTCCTTCACCCTGTAAGCTATTGTTTCCAGCTGTGCAACTACATCCTCAAATTCCTAAAGTTTCTCCCTGTTACTCCCCCACTTCAACATAAACCTGTCCAATTATAATTCTCCATTCTTTCCTCCTATGACCCAAGAACCTAAGAGCTACTTTCTCATTGGCTAAGGACAGCCTGCTTGGCCAATTCATTCAAGATTGCATTACCACATTACTCCTTGCAAAATTGATTACTACATACTATATGAGTGTGTTCCCCCTGTGGTCCTACACGGAATCTATGCATGTTGACATTTGTATTTTTTCCAGGTGATCAGCCCAATACCTTCCCATTTTATTAAATAGGGATCATTGGTAGACATAACCCTGCTTGTAACTCAAATGTTTCTTCAAAGTGATCAAGCACCAAGAACAAAACAAAGATAGACACATGCCCATAACATAATGTGTAAGGAGGTTTGAGAAGCAAACTTTACAAAAATATTGCTTGATCACATGATGGCAAGAAAACATAAGCAGCTTATCATGACCAACTTCATTGTTGAAGTTTAGCTCAAAAAATTGATGTATCACTATTCTTGTAACAATTGATTCCTTTGCATCTAAGAATGAAAGTGGAACTGTATATTGATCTCTACCCTCCGCCATATCTTTTTGACCACTCCTCCTGTCAGAGATTTTGTGTTGTCAATATTACTTGTTGTGGATCAAATTGTCTCAGCATTGCCAATAAGGCAATTTGTTAATTAAGTCATTCCATTGTTTATGTTGTGTGACAGACTCTCAAGTCTTATGCATAAGTCTTATTCTTGATCCCTTGTGGCAGGCTTGCGTGCGTATACTCTAGTGACACCTTATTTTTGTTCAAAATCACAATGATTGGTATTTGGCTGTGCCTGCATTTCTTTGCCTAGTGCCGGCGCACTTGAGTAGAATTTTGTAGAGTAAGTGATATTCCTAACAGTGCCTAATCCATTTGTTTTTCAATTTTGTTTTGATCTTTGTCACTGAAGTCACTGTGATCAGTTTGATTTACAAAATTTGTCTTATGATGAAAATATAAAATTAAGCTATTGAATGTTCACAAAATTATTATCATGAACTTTAGTTTATATGTTATTAGCTGAGTGGGGCCAGTACATGAAATATAGACAAGCAACCACCTGTGGGTCCCAAGTAATTGGATATCCAATCATGAGAAGACAGCCCTTTGCAGTGTACCCTCCCCAACACTTGCATTTCAAGCTAGAGAAATTTTACACCAGAGGCACAATGGATCAAGCATCAAACATATCCAGCTCTAGTCAACATCCCTCCTAACTTTGACACACTTGTTCCTTGCACTCTTCAAGATCCAAGTATCTCAGCTTCCCCAAGTTGTATCTATCCTTACCACACCAAATTCAGATTATCTTTGGTTTTCCCAGTTCTGGTTGTTTTATATTCTCTTTTTCTCACCCACCCACTCCAAAAGATACAAAAAAATATCTGTTACAATCATATAGTCATGTCAGTTTGTGATAATTTAGTTAACTTCCACCTTGACCATTAATATTCACCCATGTGTAGTATCAATTCAACCCATATATTGAGCAGACTAATAAATTCTATTCTCAATTTCATACATTTCCAGTTACGGTTTCTCAAAAAAAATCTTTGGCTTATTTTATAATCCTTGTATTTCTTTTGGCTTTTAGAACTGTCCCTGTTCTCTCGCGTAAGATTGTAAGTGCTCCCAGGTGTATGTCAAATATTGAGGACAACGGGAGAGTTTTTCGTGTATTTTCAACTCTGTGGTCAGTGAATGCAGAGAACTTGGATTGGGGTGCACCAAAAGATGTAGCTACACCTTTTAAATGTATGCGCGCACATCAACCCATTTGATGTGTAGGTGTTCAGTTTAAGTTTCACATTTTGGTATATTTGATGTGCTGCAGTTTGAAAGAGTGATTGATTGTACAAAGTCCCGCGCGTATGATACACCACGATATAAACCCAAGATAATTGCCACGTTGAAATCCGAAAGAAAGATAGAAGCGATAAGAGGTGGTGTTGTAAAAATTTTATTAGTGTTATATCAAGCAATATGTTTTAACTATAGAATAGATATTTCAAGTAAGATTGTAACATTCAAGGAGGCTCCTTATGACCTGAGAAAGAACCCAAGTCAAGTGTGTGGTGATATGTGAATCTACAATACTTGAGGTTGGGCAGGTTCATTTGTGATGGAAAGAGGGTTGGGGAGCATCTGGGTACTAGAGTTGGCTCTTTCCATATTACCACCCGCAGCGGGTTGAAATTGGATAGAGGGGTCGATGTTTAGGACATTGTACTCTTTGGTTTGCTTTGGGGTACTCGCCGTAGGAGATGGACCTTCGTGTGTCACGTCTCGATCCGTTAGAATTCGCCACTAGCCAAGATTAGATAGAAAAAAACGTCAATTTTACATTCTATGCAATGAGACGGTTATTAAAGTTACTCACGCTTTGAAGTAACAAAGCTCCTGATAGAAGGAAGGAACTTGACACTACCGCCCATATCGAGAGAGACCTCCATCCTTCACTAGAATTACCAAAGGTGAGAGACAAAGAGGTTAGAAAGGGTTTCATGAGCTTTTAGGATTTTATTGAACTTTGCTCAACTGATCTGGGATCTTTCCAATCTTTATCGTGAGGAATACTCCAACAACAAAGTACCATACCAGAACGACAGTGAGCAAACCACAATGCCAAACCAGGAAACCTTTTGACGATCAGATTATAAAAACACGCAAAGAAGACGGAGAGAAGAAGTTTTAGCCTCGACAAACATCGGATTCCCAAGAGACAAACATTGACTAACGGTATCCGTTTCTCAGGTTTTGAGCTAGGCGAGAGTTTTGAGCTGGCACGGCTGACACCAGAGCAGTGGTGCTGACCAAGACCGTCGACTTGCGTCCTTCTTCAACAGCATAATTACGTTCATTTCGGCCTAAAAGATTTGTTTTTCCACTCGCAACGTCGACGGTTCCCTTCAAAAGACGTAGGAAGAGTACGATTGTTATGCAGTAAAACTGACCAGGTGAGAAGAAAGGATCAAGCGTCAGAATGACAATTGTTTAGTAAAAGCATATCTAGAAAAAATATGAAAGAAAGTGTAAGAGTGCATACCACAACAGCAAAGAATGCAGCGATGGTCCAACAAAATGAAGCCCAGCGAAATTGCCCGATAAACCGATTGCCTGCCACTGCGTACCGTTGCAAGCCCGAAGTGGGATCCGATCCGTTCAGTAATTGCGCAAGCACCGCATCATATGCCATATTTTTCTCGCGTGCTGTCACAACTGAAGCGATTCCCCAGCCTATTGCCCCAAGGGCGGTAAAAATGGGTGGTCCAATGCAGATCGTGTTCATTATGATAGGATGTGGCATGTGTCGTTGTTTATTTGGGTGGTGGCTTCCTGCCCGGCTAGGTGAGAATAGACTGATGGAGATTCAGGAGAGGAGAGATCAGTGAGTACTACCTCTTCATGTTTGTTTTGCAACAAAATACAAGCAATGCGAATGAAGCGCACCAGATATACAGGGCACTGAACCCAGAATACCAAAATCCAAAATAACCTAGGATTTCATGAACGGTGTCAGCAAACGCGGCATGTGGACATAAAAATCACGAGGTGAGGCGGGGAGTTACCAGGAGCATAGCTAATTGTAAGCCAGAAGTACTGATAGTGGCTCCGGGAGAACTCGGGTGATTGAAGTGCCCGATATGAAAGCAGTATATAAATTTCAAAAATTATGCACCCAAACAGTTGGGAGATGACGACAGCAAGACCTCCGTTCGGTACCAAGTAGGGAATATTCGTCCCTGTAGATAGATACAAAAGCGTGAGTATATAAGAAAAGAAAAGGAACTGGTGTCAAAGATAACTGACGACCTGGAAGATACTGTTTCCTCCAGAACCAGAGATGCTTGCGTCGAGCTTGTACTCCACGAAAGAGCGGAATGGCAAGGATGGAGATACATAAGATTAAGACAAAAAAGTAGATCGCGCTGGAAGCGATCAATATCCGCTGGACGTAAGGATAGACAGATGGGTATTGATAAGCGTTGAGTCCGTCGATGATTGCTTGAGTTTCCAAGCTCATATTGGCGCTTGGTGTTGAGATGGTGGAGCTAGTTACGTTGCCAATTGATTGGGGGGTATTTGTTGAAAAGAGCGAATTTGAGGTTGAATATACTTGAAAGCGGAAGATCAATGAGATATGGTGATCAAGGACGTAGGGCGACTAAGATATTTGAGGTAGGAGGTAGGGAGACTGGAAAGAGTCGAATGCGTGCCAGGCAATTGATGTCCAGTCCAAATTACAATCCTCATAATCTTAAACAAATCTTCATGAGGTTTGGTTTATGATTGCTACTTCGACTAGCTTGATTAACATCCAGCCTCATAATCATTCAGTTCAGACTTCGCCACCAAAACACCATCAGTGCTTACGAAAATGCAATTGGCCCAAAATCATGCAAGTTTACGCCGCCTGTCATGCGATCTTCTTAGCTTCCAGTCGCCCGCCTTTCTCTGGATGTTCGGCTGAGGCTGCCATTCATCATCGGTAGTGGCAATAACCTCGAAGAAATTTCATTTGTCTGCCACTTTCGACATACAGTCCTACTGGATCCCAATCAATGTCCATCATAAAGTGACAATTCGACCCTGTTCAATCTGCGCTAACTTGCGAGTATTGAGGCAAAGATGTCATTCTTGTCATTGTTACAGAGGGTAGCATGGCGAAGGTGGTTTCACATTCGTGTTGCACTAAGTTCATCTGAGCACTGAGCACTTGCACACCAGGTCGAAGTGCAAGTGGGGGGAAATTGAATCATATTGTCAAAGGCTTGATGCAAATGAAGAGTTGTGATACAAAAAGTTAATACACCAATCCGACCCTTCAATTGCTAGATATCGGAGTATTATTAGGTTGATTCCTTGGGCTGTCAGTCATTCACAGATTGCAGCCATGATGCCAAAGAGATCTCAAAACAACCGACAGAGAAGCTTGCAATCCAATGAAGCCCAGCTAACGTGGTCTAACTTCCTGGTCCAGGCTAAATATAATCTTCTCAGGATAGCCCACCTCAACCAAATCTCAAGCAACACCCCGAGACTCACACACCACCAATGAGCTTTGGTGCGTATTCTAGGACAAACATGTCACTCGATTGACAAATTGCGGCTGGGTCAAACTCAGACTTACATACAGTCAATTTACCAAATCCCTTGGAACTCAAACTTAACAAAGTCCCTCGCCAAAGGCCCGAGCCCCAGGCGAGGGACTTTGTTAAGTTTGTTGGAACTTGAATGGCCAGATGTGAATATATACTCAACTTACACGCCCATGGAAACATGTCACGCTGCTGTGCGTAGACTGAACCTCCAAAGGGGTGGGCACATGATCCCAGTGTAGGATTTATACATACCGTTAATACCACGATATGGATGGCTTCTCTTATGGATTGAGGAGATATAGACTGGGACTCTCCCATCCGACCCATGAATGCTGATTTTAGCTGCCAGATATGGCCGGCATTCCCTGTGTGGCTGTGGCACCCTAATTTGCATGGTAAAAGAGACAATTAGGGTATTCAAACCTGCGCAAGAATAGTGCAAGACCGCTGTGCAAGATCCGTGCAAGATCCGTGCAAGAAATTCTTGCACGGATCTTGCACTATTATTTTTTTCACAACCCCATCTGGTTACAGCGCAAGCCAACACCTTACCTACCATCATGCCACGTGTCTCATCTCGAAGACAAATCATTCGATCACTCAAGCAACTCGCCAATCAAGACAACCGTTCCAATTCTCGCAGTCTTGTCCTACGTGCAAGGCAAAAGGTTGTCAGCAGCTCATCTCTCGGTCTATCCAACTTCTGGCAGCTACTGCAGCTTCCACAAATTCAATCCGTGTTGAATCTTGATCCTCATGCGTGTGTGGCTCTATGGGTTTTCTTCCAACGGCGAACCCGACACCGATTACTCAAATCAAACCAACCTGAATATCAAGTCGATCCGGCCTTATGGGCAGTTGCGATCGATATGATCGAGCGCAAGCGATATTTTGAAAGAAGGCGTCGCGAACCTCGGGGACATCCTCTGACAATGTTCAATAGGGTCTGGGCTGCACGCGATGCAACCTTTTTGAGGCTGGTATGTTTGTTTATCTATATGTTGTTGTCTAAAAGATGAATGTTGAGCTCACCTGATGTAACACTAGGCACGAATGTGTCGTTCTAGCTATTTAACCTTGCTTAATAAAATTGTGTCCTGTGACGTATTCGAGAATCAATCCACTGCTGCGCAGGCCCCAATCGAGCTTCAATTACTTGTCACTCTGGCCCATCTTGGACTTTCTGGAAACGGGGGTGGAATTGGGATACTTTCGCATGTTTTCGGCATCTCGGGTAAGCTTCTTCTACACTTAAGGACATGTTTTGAGGGTATTTGATGACTTAATTTCACTATCTTTGTGTTTTCAGAAGGGAGTGTTGAAAATTTCACGTGGAGATGTGTAGTTGCGATCATTCGAATGGAAAGGGAATATCTTTCTTGGCCAACACCCGAGGAGAGAGTGAAGATTCGAAGAGCTGTTGGCGCAAACAGCCCTTTCAAAGGTTGTGTCGGGTTTGTGGATGGTACATTGATACCACTTGCCTTTGGTCCTCCAAAGTGCAAGGAGGACTATTGGACTCGCAAATATATCTATGCGGTCAACTCAATGCTTATATGTAATCATGAACGGAGGATCATTTTTGCTCGCCATGGATGGTGTGGCAGTGTTCATGACCAGCGAGTCATGCGCACATCTTCAGTAAGATCAAGCTTACTCCATCAATCTTACACATGTATGATTTGATTCACTTTGCTGACGAAGAAATATATTGTTTCCGCCAATTTCTAGATGTGGTCAGACCCAAACAACTTTTTCTCTCAAGGAGAGTATCTCCTGGCGGATTCCGGTTACAGCTCCAATTCTTTCATCATTCCAGCATTTAAACGTGTCGGTGGTATTCCCCTGACTCCTGAGAAGATGGCTTTTAACAGAGTATTAAGCGAATTACGTGTGGTTATCGAGCATTGTAATGGTATGCTCAAATCACGATGGCAGTCTCTGAAAGACTTACAGTTGATATTAAAGGATGAGAAATCGGTCAAACGTCTAAACGCTTGGATATCAGCCTGTTGTATCCTGCACAACTTCCTTTTGGATCTGAATGAACGATCCAATTTCCAGTATCAAGTCTCAACTCCTATTGACCCCGAGGACCCATTAATCTTGAATGAGATATTAGAAGATGATAATGAAGATGCACGCATCCGTGTGTTTCGTCTGTTTTGTGAATCATTATAAAAGATTTGGCTCGATTGTTTTCTTTTTTTAACTCATTTGGTAGTTTTGTTTTAATTTTATCTGAAATGGTGTACTTGTCCATTTGTTTTTCATCTAATCGATTCGGTCTGAAATACAAATGATCTTATATTGAATTATTTCATGTTTCTAATCAAAAAGAAAAAGGAACACAACACGGAGCCATTTCCACAAAAAGAACATGAAAATATTTCAAAATTTTTTTTTTTTTTGCCAAGTTCTTCAACTCTTTAAGCAAAAAAAAGAAGAACGCAACACCGAGCCAAACGCAAACCGACTTGTTAAACTGAGGCAAACTAAAAGGAAAAACATAATCTTTCTCGTTGTTAATGAGGCTAACTAAGGTAGATAACTAAACCGAAGCCGAATCAAATGAGAACATAACAGAATTGGAAATTTTTGATGAGTTACCTCTACAAAAATAAAAAAGAATCAGACTTCTTAAGCATTTAATGGGTCTACACTAACACAATTCTAAAAAAAGAAATTTAAAATCAAGAAATAAGAATCGATTCATGAGACAAGTTCTGAGCTGATATTCAAATCGATCCTTGAGATTCTCCTTCCAGGTCCCCTATCAGCGGCATTGGATAAGCTGGTCAGATTTGGCGAAACTCAAAAAGAAGAGATGTTGCTTGTATCACTTACTTCGAATTTGATCTTCAGCCTCCTCTACTTCCTTTTTAGCTTCCTCAATTGAAAAACCCAATGCCTTGTATTTGGCCAACATAGACAACTTACGTTCACTCCTGGCGGTGATGAGGTCTTCACGACTGCGAGCCAACTGAGATCGTGAAAGTTCAAGCTGAACTCGATCTTGTTCAAGTTTAAGTTGAGATCGTTGAGCACGTTCAGCGGTGTCTAAACCATCATTTGCTCCTGAAAGGTGACGTGCAACTGCATCAGCCAGTTTAGCCTGAGTTTGGATCTCTTCCTTTCGTGCTTCTTGCTCTGCCTTCATATACTTTTCCTCAAAATTCCATCGCTCTTTCTCTAGCTTGTTCTTCTCAGCTTTTTCTTCTCGTGAGGGTAGGTGAGATGCTAGGAGTTGTTGTACATCTGAGGCCGAGCTGGAGGTCGACTTTGCTCCTTGATTATTGAATTGAAGTGAGTTGGGACGTTTGGAGGGCCGGCCAGGTGGGCGGCCACTCCCTCCTTTCTTGTTTAAATTGTTTGGTGTAGGTGAACCTTGTCGGTTTTGGGAAGCTGAAAAAGAGCCGGGACTGTCAACTACAATCTGAGTGATTGCTTCGTCTAGGTCAAGAGGACTTTCCCAAGGAGTCGTTTCAATTTCATGGCTTTCGTGTGTTGAGGATACGATGCTGATCGGAGACTGATTGCGTGCACGCTTTGTAGAAGGAAGAACAGTCTCTTCATCTAAATGATCCCCACTTTCACGAACTGCCTGGGGTATGACGTTAGTCCGTGTTGACATGAAAGGTAGGAGATCATAGTAATAAATCGAACGTTGGAACAAGAGCTCTAGATGAGGGTGAGAAAAGTGCATCAGTAAGTTAAGTATGATCGGCTGTAGATGAAAAGGTACATACGGTCAAACTTCGATTTAGTTGTTTGCTGAATCGCCTTCCACTCATCACTATCAGATGAGTAGCCCATCTCGGATTTCTCTGTTTGAGCTTGTTGCTCAAAATCTTCCAAAATACCTTGTCCAGTTCCACTGCGAAAGTCTTGAGCAAGCGTGAAGCCTGCTTCAAGTGTACGTATCTAAATCAAATCCTCATGTACATCCTTTGGCCAACATTTTAAATGTAGAGAGCTTTGAAATTGACCTACCTGGGTCTCTACACCTTTCCCATCTCGTCTTGATAAACCTTGCTCAGCCAAGTACTCAGAAATCTTCTCACCAATGTCTTTCTTGCTGTAAATTGTTCGTGTGTCGGTATCCATCTCTCCCTTCCACCAATCATAACGTGTACTGGTTGTAGTTGCAGTTCCCAACCATTCAATTATCAGAACAATAGCACTCTTCCCCTCAGAATTGAGTTCAGCTTTCCACGAAGTAGTTTTTTTTCATCATTTGATTCTTTTGATTCCGTAGTAGGTTTTTGTGTTGTGTTTGAGATCTTCCTCCTTGTATATTTACGCTTCTTCTTTGGTGCATCAGCACTCGGACCTTCGTGAGCCAAAGAATTTGAAGGAAGTGTTTGAGAGACATCCATAGTATTTGAATTAGATCGGGATAAGCTCCAGCCAGTTGCATTTACCGAAGGTGGGATGAGTGCAAGCTGAAGACCTTGGTGAGGGATCGGACTTGGGCTTTGAACCCAGTTGGCCGGAGATACGATTTGCAAGGGGGAGGTGGAAATGGTTGAATTGGAAATGTGCGGGGATAGTACTTGAAGGTTTGGATCGAGATGTATGGGAGTTAGGTAGGATTGACCTGCAGGCGGAGGAGGATCAGCCATTGCTGTATGTATCTTATGGCTTTGCGTGATCTTCAGGGAAAAAGAGAGTGAACTCTAAGACTATTGGCCTCAGTGCCCTGGTTGCAACGGGGCTTTGTTATGTCAAGATATGTAAGTCTTAAGTCTGCAACTTTTGTGCAAGTATTGTGCAAGATGCTAAAAAAACTTGCACAAAAGTTGCACAAAAGTTGCACGGATTAATTTCTGAGGTTTGAAAACCCTAAATTTGAAAGAGATGCATACATCAAAGAAAGCGTGTGCACATTATCCGCCGAGGTACCTTGAGCGGGGTTGAGACGTCGGGCTATGGAAATCCGATCTCAAGTTTACAAGCGCTTCATGATTCCGCTTTGACGCCCTCAGACTCTGATATACCGATACGACACTTCTCGTGTTGGAGAATAACCTTTCTAACCCAATCGAATATCTTCTACGAAACCATCGAACCATGAAGCCCGGTTCTGAAATCGACCTCAATCCACCTCTCCCAAAACTAGTTGCTGTCGATCTTGATTACACTCTTTGGCCTTGCTGGGTTGATACTCATATTCATCCACCTCTCAAGCCCACCAACAAACCCGGAGAACTCGTCGATAAAGCGGGTCGAAAGTTATCATTCTTTACTGATGTACCGCACATTTTAGCCACACTTCAATCTGTTGGAGTTAAGATTGCTGCATGCTCTCGTACTCATAGACCAGATATGTGAGTCTTGTCGCTTAAGTCTTGTCATGAATAATGGTGGTTAACTCCACTTGTGATTTTGTGTGGATCGATGTATCTACATACATAAGTGCTCGCCAAGCCCTATCAGATATAAGAATCCCTCGAAAACCTAATTCTTCATCGGATGAGCAAGAGCAAGATTTGATTCGATCGATTGATCTGTTTGATAATTTACAAATCTATCCAGGTTCGAAATTAAGTCACTTTGAAACGATTCAAAAAGAAATGAAGATTGAATACAAAGATATACTTTTCTTTGATGACGAACCAAGGAATTCAGAAGTCGAAAGATTAGGTGTACACTTTATGTTAGTTGATGATTCGATTGGATTAAATTGGGATACCTTTATGAAAGGATTAAATGCTTGGAGATCTAAACAAGTCGAATAGATTGGGATTCGGTTTTCTTATTAATAAAAGATGTCAAAATGAAGATCCTACTTCTTTAGACTGTCACACGGTGTATGACCTCAACGGATTTTCTTCTTTGTAACTTCAAGAACTCTTCCTACTCTTGAGAGTTGTATATTTACAACACGTAATTTCTTTTCTCAATCTTTGTAGTGAGCTTTAAATAGATGTTGGATACTCTTTAATTTACTGACAAAAAAGTAAACCAGTCCTCAATTAATTATGCGCAAAACTCAAGCATTGATGAGTGTATATTTAACTAGCAAAGAAGTTTATCAACAAGATGACATCATACTGTATACATGCCCAGGAAAATAATTCTTCTGCCGTGTCTCTTGGCTAATCCTCCTTATGATATTGAGTGTTTGAGAGTGATTGCCAAGTGCTCAATCCATACAATATTCTTTACACATTGAAGGTTTCTTATTCCCTTGAGAATATCTCTGGGCACTAGGAGTAACCTTCTAGCTACGAGAAATCGCATTGGTACAGCTGCTTGTGACGTAGCTCCGACGAAAAATTCTGTAAGCCATTACGCTGTGCGCGTGATTGCATTCCTGTGCAGTTTACCTTTCTTTTCTTCATAATTACCTCAATGAGGATGCTCTTCCCTCGGCACGAAGTTTCTCATATTCATATAAACTAAGCTGGACCGTGACGGTCACCGAACTCCGGTTCTTTCCACTTTTTGTTAATGACAATCTTCTCAAAATTCTTTTATTCATTCTCATTGACATCAAAGTCTTCTCAGGATTCATGACCTATTCTTTTTAGAATCGTCGTTCGATTCTTTATTATTTTTTGGTCCATCCCACCTCTTCCTTTTCATGTATCACTTTCTTCTGCCCCATAGTGAACCTTTTTGATTACGTTCTACGCCCCGATTCGATTTCCAGGTAAAACCATGCTCTTGTTGATCAGGACCATTAACTGACCTCTGCCTTTACTTCTCACATACCACCAGATTGAAGAGATATCTTTCTGAGAAAGCTAGTTGTAGTACTTTACAAATTCAAGAAATGTACCAAATCGATCTAAAATCTTTCATGAGATACATAGTCCCATGGAGTTTGACTATGATGGAATGGATGACCTTTGATTTTGAGTGATTGTACATAACTTGTTGAACTCTGAAGCATTCATCCAAAGTATACAATCTGTTTACCTCTCTATGCAATCCAGGCGTTGTTTATGGAATTCATGCGTGCATTTATACCGATAAGCTTAAAAGTGTGACCACGCAAGGACGGATTGATGACAAGGACGTTACGCCTGATTTCTATAAGAATATGCTTATATCCAACGATCATCCAACTTTAACTCTCAAATGAAATCGAATCCTAAAACTTTGAGTTCTTCGATGAGTTTGATTCTTTTTACAGACGGAAGCGAACTACGATTCATGAAGTGATGAAAATACACAAAGCATCACGTTTTGATCTTAGAGAGATATATATATCTTAATAGATCATCCTTTAAAGTCTCTTTGACGCTCTCTTGTTTCCATGTAAAATCTAAATCTTTTAACAAAATTATAAAGATCAGGGATGCAGGAGTGAGTATGAGTTTACTCAATAAAGTGAGTATTATTGAGTATACTGAGTATTTTTGCCTATTTTTGGCCCTGTAAACCCGTACAAAGTGAGTATCAGTTGAGTATATACTCATACTCGGTACTCATTCCTGCATCCCTGATAAAGATTAATGATGATGATCTATTTAGATTTTGTAGATACATAAAGAAATCATAAGATTTTAAAATTTTCAATTCAAGATCAATCACAAATGTAAAAAACATGTGGACAGATTATTAATCGCATGGTGTGTAGGAACTTGTAGATAAATTCTTATTTTCGGATTTTAAAAAATTTAAGAATTAAAAGATATCTTGAGGTTACAAATTATTGAGAAAGTAGATTGGATGATATGGATCAGGGTGAGATTAAGAAAAGGATAGAAACAGATCAACATCTTCACTTTTGATTGATAGTTTTTAAAGACTTTCAATGGTCGAGTCTTGGTGACCACAACAAAGAGCATGAAGGAATTGATTGCAATTCTATTCAGTTTGAGTCTTTGAGGAAATAGAAAGTTAAAAGTGAATCGATCGAATGAGTTTTTCTTGTAAATCCGTAGTCAAAGTGATCCTAATTTACCATTTCACCAAATGAGCCCATCCAAGTTGACTCTAACCAATAACCTTCAAGATACAGTCAAGATTAATACAACAGCTCATCATGAAGGTTATCATCACTCTCATCAAACTACAAACACTAACCCAATCAATCAGATTAAATGCTACATATCCATTCAAGTCCGAATCGAGATCCTCTTGACCATTTCTTGATTCTCCATTCTCATTCTGATTTACAACCTACCAAAATAGCATTCATTCATGATTCATAGAACTGATTAGACTCAGACTTGATTCCCCAAACTAGTTCTCTTGATTCCTATCTATCTTCTTCCAAATGAGTTCTCTTTCTCCAAAATCAAAAGCTTTGATTGAAAAATTATATCAAAGTCAATACCCTGAAGTTTATCCTTATGTTCCAAAAGTCATCATCACTTATATGGTTGTTTATTTCTTCGTTCTTATCCTTTCTCTTCTTTTAATCATCATTCCCTGTTTACGTGGTCAAGAAGCTCGTCGTAAACATCTTTGGTTATGGCGTAAACAATATGCTAATGGTTGTAAGTCTACAAACCTACCTAAAAAAACCCGTTTTTTTTGTTTTTTTAATCCTTTAAGAAAGAAAAGAAGAAAAAGAAAAACTAATCCAATGTTTTCTTTACCTCTTGATTTATGAAAGCTAAATATTTAATTCCATATTATATACCGAATGGTGGAATTGCTTTTGTGATTTCTCAAATCTTTGGTTCAATCTTATTTGAAATTTATCTTTTTTTAGCTTTTTATTCTATAAAGTTTCCTGAATTTTCTAAAAATTCTTATCAATATTTTTGGTTAGCAATTGGTAATTCTCCTGGTTTCTTTGGGTTTTGGTATTCTGGTTTTGGTGCTTTATATACTTGGTAAAGAGCTTTTTCCTTATCAAATCGAATTACCCCGTACACTTTTTTGAAATTTATGAAAAATCATCATTGTTGATCTTGATGGTTGTCTTTTTTCGGGGTTTTTAGTATCTTTTCACCTAGTAGAACAACCACTACAGATGGAACCAACAAGATTCAAAAATATTTAATTCATCCCATCATCATGAACACGATTTGTATCATCACACCGATCATACCTACCTTAATTTCAATAGGTTGGGGAATCGCTTCGATTGTCACTAGAAAAGCTCAATTTCAAGCTTATCAATCAGTCATTCATCAAATCAAATCTGATATCAATCCTACAATCGGGATCTTAAAGTATACTAAAGCTGGATTCAAATTCCTCGATCAGTTTCGTTGGGCTTGTTTGTTTTGGTCATTTGCTGCAATCTTATCTATGGTGGTAAGCTGCTCTCTTTAATCAAACAATGCGGATTTTTTTTCACAAGTCTCAAGACATGTTCTAGAGGAAAAACCAAACTGATGATCTTGAATCCTTGTTTTCTTTTGTGATTTTTTTGTTAAATAGTTTTATTCATTTGCGATTCTTTTGTTTTTAAGATTATTAAAAACGACAGTAGAAGTCAATGAAGGTAAAAAAGGTTTAGAAGGATTTGAAGTTTCAAAAACTTTAGCACCTAGTAGGTTTTCCAAAAAATTACGTAAATCTTATTGTAAGTCGCAACTTTTTTCCCCAAAAGAAATTTATTCCAATTCATTTTTTGGTTTACAAAACTTGATTTGATTTTTTTTGCTGGTTTGGTTTGGTTTGGTTTGGTTTTGATAGATTTGTTAATGTGGCAATGTATTTTACTTATGGTCGTTTCTACTTGGTATTTGGTGGATGCGATTATACTGATGATTAGAATTGATGATGTAGTAACAAGGTAAGTAAGAGTTTCGAAAAAACAAAAAAAAACATCGTATCATCTTGATTGATTTAAGATTTTTTTTGTTTGTGTTACTATGATGATGAAAAAAAGTCAAGCATGGAGATCTTTATTTGATTGGTTAGTAGTCTCAAGTTCATTCCTTTTAGCAGGTGCACTAGTACTTCAAAGTGTAAGTGTTTTGTTTTGCTTTTCATCTTCTTAAATCTTTTTCTTTTTTTGACACTTTCTTTTTCAAAAACAGTGGAGAATGTTAATTGATAAAGATGAACCTCAAATCGTCATCCAACGTGAAATTAAAATCTCTACAAACTCTCATCATCCAGGCCCTTCAGATTCTAATCATAGATTTCATAAAGTTTAAACCAATTAAGTTTTTCTCTCTTTATCTATCTCTCTCTCTATCAAATTGCAAATTTTTATTTTTCAATCAAATAAACTAAACTGCAAAAAATGAATATGTGTATGTTATAAGGTGTTTTGAGATTTTTATTTATTTAGGAGGTTTGGTTTGACTACCAATCAAAGCAGAAAAAATGTAATGTTGTTTTATACCTACCTAAAAAGGTCTTGGGATTTGTTGATCATCTTTAGTTTTTCAAAATAACAAAAAAAAGCAAGAAATACTTTTAGTCTTGTGATTCAAACTTTTTTTAATGGTTTTTCTTATTTTTCTAATCTGATTGATATTGATTTTTACAAAAAAAAAATGGATTTATTAGTTTGGAAAGCAGTTATGAATGGTCTTTGTTTTTTTCTCCCCAGGAAGTTTTGATGTGATGCATTGGTAATAACCAGGTTCTTAAGTTGGATTTAGCTATGTGAAATGAAATTTGGTGGAAAACGAACTGTAATCTGTTTTACATGTGTGTGTGTGGACCTATGAACATAAGACACCTTATGTACCACCAACTTTTGACTATTTTTCTTTGGTTTGTCTTTCTTGAAGATCATGGTTGTCATAAGTAGTGGACTGGAATTTGAAAGATAAAGATTTTTCAGTTTGAGAACATGGATAATCATAATGGTCTCTTTTGATGAGGCCAGTGACAAATTATCTTTCTTATGATGATGAGTAAAGGCTTTATCATAACACCTGGGTGACAATTAAGTTTGAAAACAAGAGGAGGCAGATGAAATGAAAGCAGCAAACAATGACTAAAGTGAGTCTTGAAAAAGTTGGTGGGGATTCAATCCCACCTATTTGTGATTGGCTGTCTTTAAGCTGATCAACCCATAGGGACAAGAACAGGCAATGTCTTGGTTGCTTCTCAACAAATTTAACTACAACAGAAAGATTGAAGGTTCCAATGACACTCTAGTCAAGTGGAGAGGGCTCCCATGGTTCATTGAGATCAAATAGGTGTGGGTTCTTATGGACTTTTGAAGGCAATACAGTCAGCTTCAATTAGCAAAGAATGAGCAAATGAGAAAAAAACTAACCCAAGTCGGTATTCTGAATCACACCTGAAGCCAAATCAGTCAGATCATTTGAGGCAGTTTGGGTAATGTCCATGCTTGCATATTTTGTCCTGTGAAAATTTTTCTCTTTGACCGTTTCTGAAGAATTGTCCACTACAGGCTCTCTTGGCAAAACCTGCTGCTTGGTCCTCATGGTCCTGGGCTTCTTATTGAACTTCAATGCTAACTCATGGTTGAGATACTCTTTTATCAAGTTTTCATCACCAGTTTTTTCTGTACTTCTGATGTTGTCAAAACTTGAGATAGATGCCTTGCCAGCTGAATTACCAATGTCTTCATGAATATGTTCAGTTGACCCATCATTGGGAAAATCTTGAACAATGTTTATTTTTTTCCTTGGCACATCAGATACCTTTCTCTTGAGATTTTGGATGATGCTTCTTTCATCTATTTTTGTATGATTTTTGGGTTTCTTGGGCTTTAGCCTACTTTCTATGAATTGCTTAATTGAAATGTCATCTGAAACTGAAACCGATGAGCCTGAGTGTTGTGCATCTATATTGTTTGATGGATCATGATCATGGGTTGAGATTCTTGGTAGATTTGGTTTATGGACATCTTGAATATACTGATCAACTTTGTAATAAAATTGATTCAAATGATCTGAAGAAATCAAATGCTCTTTATAAAGGTCACCAAGCTTTAAATCCTTAGTGATGTCTTCAGGACGTGGTGAATATTGTGGAGTTCTATATGTAAGCAAAGACCAATAGTATTGCATACATTGAGCTTTGGTCACTGGTGTCTCTGAGACTTTCATACTCAGAATGCTTTCCATCACTTTTCCAATCCTTCTTATCAGTAAATAAAACATCACACTGTTTTCTATTCTCTTTTCAAATTTGTGAAGTTGACTGGGTTTTGAAGTTGCATTCAACACATAATCCAAGATTTTCCATAATATCAATTGTGCTTCTGAGTCATCTGCATCCACTTTCAAAACTAAACCCAGACATTTAGAGATCTGGTTATCAATACTTTTGCACTGATCATTATCTGCTCCAATTGTTTTCATTAGTTCCATATATCCTACCATAAATCTTATTTGTTCAGGAAGCTCAATTGAATTGGTTTGATGTTTTTCTTTCATAGCAATGAGTTCTTGTGAAATTTCAAGATCTGGTTTATCAAACAAAAACCACAATTCACGAGCTTTATGACCCAAATCTCCTAAAGTCTGGCTTTTTTTGAGAGGATCTTCAAGCAAAGAGATTGGTTCCAGTTTTGGATCAACAAATGGATCTTTGTTTGTGATATACCTTCGAGCAGTCCAGTTATCTTCTGCAGAGGTAACCAAAATTTTTCTTGCTGAACGTGCACTACATTTACTTGGTGTCAGTGCAAGCATTACATGACTATTCTGTAAGCCCAAAGAGAGTAATTTCTCAAAAGTTTCAAAGGTCTGCATATATTTTCTGTACCAACTACCATATTGAAGATCATCTATCCCAAACTGTGATAAATTCTTCAAGAACTTCAAGGTTGATGTTGATGAATTGATCTCAGAGATTTGATGTTTCTCTTTCATGATACCTCTCAATAAAAGATAAAAACTTATTTTAGAGAGTGAAAATTCCATGAAATGATTGAAATTGTCTCTTGTGAGGTGTGGAGAGGTTGGATTCAAGGTGAATTGAAATGAATTTTGAATGTCTTTCTCTACATAGTCTATCTCAGAATGAGAATCTGGAGATGAATGGGCTTTGATGATCTTTACCAAACTAGAAAGAATATGATGAAGTGGGCTAGTTGACTTTCTTACCCAAGTGACTTTTTCTTTTTTTTGAAATTTAGATTTAGGTTTCTCTATAAAGGGTTTTAGTATCTGTTTAGTGTATGATAAAACAACATTCCCAAGGTTGCTGTAGGATTTATGTTGATTGGCTACCACTTCAGCTGTTCTGAGTGCCCTCCAAACATTCAGATGATCATCCTGGATTAAGATTCTATCCACTGGTCCAATTGAATCTGGAGCGGCTACAGGGAATATTTTAGTGATGTGTAAACCATATCTAATCAGTGATTTGTTTCAGGTAAATTCCAAAAAGATGGAAAATTGCAATACCTACCATCAATGGTGTGTTCAGAGAGTTCTCCAGATTGTAACCATATAACTCTGCCATCCATAAATTTATTGGGTGTTGGTATTTCTGACAGAGAGAACTGTATGCAAATGCCAAGGATGAGACCCAAATTTGATAAGACTGATCTTTTCATGGTCATCAGCACCCTATTATTTTTAAGTCTATGTTCAAGAAAATTGGGATGTTGTCTTGAGGATTTTTTTCTTATGGATCAAAAGACAGACAGGGATCAAATCCTTAAGCTGACATATAGATCAATAATTTGTATCAAACAATATAAAACTCTGAAAAGAAACTCTATCAGAATGTGTTACAAAATATGAATCTACATCAGATTATCTAGCAAAAACCACTCTAAAACTTGTTGCATAGTATGTTTGGATTCAAAGGAGGCTCCCAAATGATCCTATTAGTCTTCATGTGACCTATGTTCTGTTACATGTTTGATCAGATATGGTGTGTTGTCATATGTAAATGACAGGCTCAATATATACCTGGATTATGGCTGGTGTCATGTTTTACGTTGGTGAACAATTTGGGAGTGTGATCGGTGCTCAGAGAGGTTCTTGTGAAAGCTTGACAGATATACTCCAGAACTTCAAGTAGTGCCAGATGAGCCCTAATGTCTGAACTGGCAACCTGGTTTCATGGAAAGCCTCTGTGGCAACCTGAGATGGCAGCCTTGACTTGCTTTCACTTTTTTTGAAATTGCTGTGCCCCACAGCCAAAACCACATAAACTCTGATTTCAAATTATATGTCTCTTCTGTCTATGCAATAAAATTCACTATTGGTGCTATCACATTTTTAGACTTGAAACAGTTCAAATGAACCATGAATCCTTCACATACACCCTTCTTTACATAGGAATATACACCCTATTGTAATCTTCTCGGAAAGATCTTGTCAATCCTCAGGATGGTATGCTCCTTATCAAAAGATTATTCTGGATATATGAGCTATCATTTTAGGCCGCTACTGAGAACATCCAAAGTTACTATCAACAGCCGTCTTCTCAGTCAATCGCTCTGGATCCGTTATGAAATGTTCATAGAAATCTAACGAAAGATAGTGGATCAACTTGGATGAAATCCAGACGAACCAGATCCCAGTTTAATTTTGATTACACTACAATCTAAGTTGCCTCAAACACAACAACATAGACTCAAGGCTGAACAACGATTCTTTTAGTATTTAAACAACAAGACAAGACAAAATTTTGTTTCAAAAGAACAAAGTTGAAAGTTTTTAACCAAGAGTACAACGAACTTGATGAAACTTTTGTATTGAGTTTTGGAAAATTCAGGAAATTTACAAATTCTTGCGTGGATTTTGTCTATTCAAGAAACGTACTTGTTAGACATCAAATAAAGAGCATTGAGATAAAGGTTTGTAGATTTTAGAAACCTCGTAGTGAGTGATCAGCTTGGTGATCTACGCGTTCATCGGTCCATACTTTATAGTCCAGGCTCTGGTGAATTAAGAAGAAATCAAGAGATCAGTATGACTCTTTAAAACCTTTACTTTTAGCATGTTTGGGTGAGATCCTTCAGGAAAAATCACACACCATAGCTGTATCCCAAGATGAACCCTTTACAAGATGAGATTGTACTCCATTTGCATCAAAGAGTCTAACTAAATGAGCATAAGTATCGGGGAATGGGGTCCCAATAAAAAAGATATGTTTAACATGAGGTACACTTTTAAAAGCCTTTCCATCAGCAAATCTTAGTGCACGTTGCCATTTGTCTCCACTTAAAAATACGTCTGTAACAATTGTTCCAATGTTCTTTAACATTGGTACGTTTAACCAGTCGATCTCTTTCATGTGATATCCAGGACAATATTGAGATGCAAGAACTTTTAATTTGGGGAAATTCAAACTTGTGATATCTTCCTTGATTTGAGATGTAAATGAGTATGTAAAGAGACCTTCTAATGTATCTTTAACCGGTTCCAATACTTCAATTAGACTTCTACGTCCAGAAGGTATAGAATCATATCGACTACTAGGAAAGAGTTGAATACTCTTTAAAGTGTTTTTTGAAGATCGAGTGATAAAAGAGAGTGCTATTAGGTCATCATCATAAGTAGATGAAAGATGACGCAAGTTCGATAAAGCTGGAGGTTTTAAAACTAAATCCGTCAAGATTGAACTAGAATTGATGATCAAGCTCTCGAGTTGAGGTATCGCTGAAAGTAAATCAGATATTGAATTTTTATCGTAAGCTCCTTCTTTGGAACCGTGATAAGAGTATGAAAGAGTTAATGATTTCAAATCTTTAAGCTTCCCGATAACTTTGACTAGCTCAGGCGAAACTCCCATGCAACTGACAAAGCGAAGGGTCAGAGAGTTCAAATTGGAACCAAGTAAATTGATTAATCGTATTACTTGACTCATTGAAAGTGGTGGTAATGTACGATCTGGAAATAGCCATCGAGGAAAGGTCTAGTGAGCACTTCAGCAAGCTTAAAGTTATGCAATCAAGCAGTGAAAAACTTACCAAGACCATACTCTGGATCTGAATCATAATCTTCCCATTCTGGTTCTGAAATTTTACATTCCCATTCTGAATCACTATCTTCTTCTTTGAATTCTTCTTTCTCTACTTCTTTTCCTGCTTGTTCTGATTCTTTTTCTTTCTCGTCTTCTCCCGAATACCAAATGCGCTCAATCACAAGACTTTCAACAACAGAAGATGAAGGCGGTCCGAAAAAGTCTTCCTTCCAAATATCAAATGATCTTTCTGCACACTCTGAATCCGTTAGAGCATCGCCACCCGTCCGTGTAAAACTAAAAATACATGTGATATACACAATGCGTGAGAAAAAACTCGAGCCACCGCACCGTGTAAACACCCTGTATGGGTTACGCTCCGTTCAAATGTTGGCCGGGAGAGCGCAAATCTGAGCGGTGAGCAAACAACCGAGTATCACCGGTTTAGGAAGAAACATCCGACATTGATGTCACTTTGGTGAAAAAAACCCTTTCTATCTTTTCTTTATCTCGCCAATCGTTGTCGATCACCTCTACCATCACCAATTCCGATCCTTCCCGATCGCTTTCATACCAACCTCGACGCTTTCTACCTCTTCGTTTTCGTTTGATGAAGGGTGCCTATGCTTTGTGGCACCCTTGCTCTTTCATAGCAGTAACCATGCACCCTTTCGTGCGTGGTTTGACCTCATCGCGCCAGATTAAGACTTCGATGGTCAAACCTTCATCTATTTTGGCCAAATGTTACCTCAATCTACCCAACTTAACGATCACGGACTTTGGAGGTCAACTGGTAGGTCACATTGCTCACCTCTTTCCTGTGTATAAAAAGCTTTCAATTTTACTGATTCGATTGTGTTCATCCATCCTATACCTGACTACTCTATTTCATCGTCATAATATTTTGTGTTCATACTTACTTTAGACTTCAAATCGTTGCTTACATCAGTGTGCCCCACTGTCAGTTGACGCTATACCTTCGAGTACTCACCTCTTGGCCAATCAATCCTTGTTACTTCGCACCTCTCACTCGAATATGTGGTGGAAACATGGAAACTGGGAAGTAAATCATGCTCGGGAGTGTAAGTCTTTATTTGGAAGTTGTCATTCCTATATCGTATTGACTTACTTTTTACATATCAGTTACGGACAATGGCCCACCGGAACCGGTTCAACAAAACCATGCCACACCTCCACCTGGCATTGGTAACTCGGTCACTTATTATGGTAATGAAGGTCAGTGTTTTTGATTTCTATGTTATAATTCTTACACACACTGACCTCATATTTGTGTTTTCTGCGTTAGGTAATAACAATCGCCCTGTCCAGGCTCACACTTCCGTGTTGCGTCCTACATCCAGGCACTCTATCAATGGAGGTATGATTACATGTTTATTTTTGATGTTTTTTTACGCTTGTTGATTTATACATTTTTAATTGCATTTCAGGTCCCGAAAGTAATCGCTTGATGTCACCTCAGCCTTATTCCTATGCGCCTCAACCTCATATTACTCAACCTCCTCGTCATCATTCTAATCCGCCACCTCAATGGCATACACCACCCGACTCTTCTATACCAGCTCCAGCCATTGCTTCTTTTGAGCCGATGCCGACTTCAGATACTCATACTCTGCTTTCCCAATCTTCTCAATCGCCTGGTATGAAGCGCAAAGCACCTAGCACTTCTCGAAAAGGCAAAGCCTCTACTTCAACATCTACCCGAAACACCAAAGCTTCTGCTGCCACTACCTTAACTATTGGTGACACTCCTCTAGACTCTGATGAAGTGGTATCCGGTCGAGGCGGTAACTACCACCCAGACGAAGATCTTCAGATATGCCGGTCGTGGTTGAACATCTCTCAGGACAGCTTGATAGGAAATGCTCAAACTTCAATGACGTTGTGGAAGCGAATTTCAGCTGACTTCAAACATTACAGACTACTTGAACCTGCAATCGTCAAGCAACCTGATCTGTATGTGGAAAGGACTGACGAGTCTATGCAAGGTAGATGGCGATTGATCAACAAAGCGGTCAATAAATTTGTTGGTTATTTATCGAAGACGAAGAATCTCCACGGCAGTGGCAAATCAGCTGATGATATCATTGCTGATGCTCACGAGATGTACCGTCAGCGAGAGGGTAGTGTGTTCAAATTCATGCAATGCTATACGATCTTATCTTCAGCTCCAAAGTGGTCTGATTACAACGTCGACCTTGCTAGAAGATATACTCCAAAACCTCCTCCCACTGTCATATCAATCCGTTCGACTCCTGCTCCTACCGACGATTCTGACATAGAAGTCATCTCATCTGATTTACATGATCGCCCTATTGGTAATAAATTAGCTAAAAAGGCGAAGACTCAAGATGCTATATTGAATCAAATGGCTGATAATGTGAAGGCTATGGCAGAAGCTACTACTTCAATTGCTTTGCACTCTGCTGTTCAGAGCGAAGCAGTCGACTTCCTCACTGACGATCTTGTGCTTAAAACTGATACTACAAAACTAAATGGTGAGATCAAGTTATTTTATGAAATGAGACAGGCAGAGATTGTAAAGAAGCGTATGGCTAGATTAATTGCTGCAGCTAAAGATTAGTATTTGATTCTTATGTATTACTAGTATTTTCCCTCCGCACACGTGTTTGAATGTTATCATCCTTCTATATTATCCTTGTCCGTCTTCTCCTTTTTCCTCTGCACACGCGTTTGATTGGTTTGTTTGTTATATTCCGTTTATTTACCTGAATGTTTGGTATCTGTCTATAATGAGAGTTCTTGATATGTGATCGGTAGTGATTGATTAAACCAAAAAAATTACTTTTCTTTGTATATAATACATAACTTTTCAATGTGATTAATTGATACAACAGTTTGACCTTTATGTTGGGTATCAAGCCCCTTGATTTGAGCCAGCCCACTTTCGAGTAACAGCAACTGAGAAAATCACTTGAATTGAACATATATAGTAACTTATGAGTTTATAAACTTATAATCGAAACAAAATATAATATAAAAACAAATTGGAAGCTACACAAAAAACCACAAAGATTTCATGGATACAAAGCTACAAACGTACAATGAATAATAAAAATACTGAAATAGATAAGTAAAAATATCAATCAAAGGCCAACACGAGCACCACCGCGAATGTTCCACAGATGTTCAACAAGGTCATTTTGGAGTCGAAAGTGAGTATTACGATCCTCCATTCGATGTTGAACATTAAGATAACGTTGATAAGGGGTCATGTCGTCTTCAGGGTGAAGGATTTGGCCCAAAGGCACCAAAGGTATTACGTCTCTTAGTCCTACATCTCTCTCATCTTCTACTACCATGTTGTTAAGAATTACGCATGCTAACATAACTGATTTTAGCTTTTTGGGACTCCAAAAACGAGCAGGCCCAGCTACTATAGCAAACCGTGCTTGAAGGATACCAAAGGTACATTCTATGTCCTTCCTAATTGACTCTTGTTTTTCTGCAAAGTTCTAGTAAAAACATTGGGGAAAAATTGTGAACACAGAATAAAAAGTATGTAAGCAAAGATAAAGGACACACCCTTTTCTTCAAATCCTGAGGGTGCGCTATAGTTTGAACTATAGTAGCGTATTTTGGATAAATACCATCAGCAAGGTAGTATCCTTGATCATACTGGTGTCCATTGATTTCAAACTCGCACTTCGGTGCTTCTCCTCTGCATAGGCGTTCAAACAGAGGAGAGTGATTGAGCACGTTCAGGTCATTGAGCGAACCAGGTAACCCGAAAAAGGCATGCCAGATCCATCGATCTTTGGATGCCACAGCTTCCAAAACTATTGTCGGACCACTTTCTTTGCCTTTGTATTGACCGCTATGAGCTTTTGGGCAATTTTTCCATCGCCAATGCATGCAATCCAAGGAACCCAACATGCCAGGGAAGCCTCGTTCTTTGTTTTCCTCAAGTAATCTAGCAGTGTCGGCAGCGTTCGGTTCGCGGAGGTACTCTTCTCCAAAACGAGATACAATGGCGGCGCAAAACCTGAACATACTTTCGATGGAAGTAGATTCGGCCAGACGTAGATGTTCGTCGTTCATATCGGCGGGTGTGCCGTATGCGAGCATTCTAATAGCTGCAGTGCATTTCTGCAAAGGAGAAAGACCAAGCCTCCGGCAGGCATCGCGCTTCTGAACAAAATAAGTGTCCTCCTGAGTTACTCCTTCAACTACACGTAAAAACAAGTCTCGACCCATGCGGAAACGACGTCTAAACAGCTCTTCATCATAGCGAGGGTTCTCTGAGAAGTAGTTGTTGAAAAGCTCTACGTGAGCTCCTTCGCGGTTTCGATTAATATTGGGGCGTTTTCCCTTTTTAGATCCACCGCCGCGTCGCTTTTCGTTGCCTCCCGACGTGACGAGGTGACGAGCAACGTCCGTGGTGACTTGCGCGGCATTCATGATTAAACGCAATCGGTCGTTTGTTTGGCCACACATAGACAATAAGTTGTTCAACCCGAGGGGGTGGTTGGCCTGCTCAGCCATTCTTATAAAGATCAATATTAATATCGATGGAAAAACAAAAACATAAGATAGTGAATTTAAGCCAAATCACTATCAATAATTCACAACTTGATCACGATACGATCATGAAAATCAAGTATCGCCCTGATGTCATACAATGAATCAGGAGTTCCCAATTGGCTCAAATTAGTCATTGATCAAAGGTATTTACACGTCCCCGATTTCACCAACCTCCGCGTATAACTGACATACAGACCGAGGCCTGTCATACAGCCGTCTTACATACTTGCTTTTTGCACTCCATGGGTGGAGATGCTCTTAAAGATATCTTTCGATGAAAAAAAATTATTACCGCCTGAGACCAAGCCTTTGAAATTAGCCGGAATTTAAATAATTCTCTTGAGTGGGTCACATAGGGTCCAGTTTTCTCTAATTTTTTTTTCATAAACTCTTTTAAGATTAGATTGATCACACCTAATGGTAAACCTTTGGTTTCTGTCATGACGTCTTCTTAAGTTCTTGTTCTTCTTGATTTGATATCTTGGTTGGTTTCGTTCATCGATTGAGACTATCGAGACAGACTGATCAAATTTTCAAACCTTTCAAGAGCATCCAAACTGGTTCGCGGTTGATTATGTAACTTTGAGAATTGCGGTACCGGCCTCTACAAAGCTTTTGCTTACACTCGTTTTAAAAAAGCTTGTCGATTCAAACTTAAAAGTCCCAACGCTGGACCACACCCCCAACCGTTGGGACTGAGTTAAGTTTGTCTTCTCATCTTCTTCCGATCAGCTTACAGTCAAACCAGAAAAGCTTGTCACAAATTCCCCGCCAAATTGATCGAGTTTTGCGGGCAAAATCGGTCAAGCTTTTCCGATTTGACTGTACCATTAATGATTTGATCTTTGTAGAAATTGAGGAGACAGGTGTTAGGCTCTTACTCACTGTTGTTAATGTACACTACACCAGGTTATGGTGATTTTGTCAATAACTCTGAATCATGGAATCCCTTACTCAATACTATTGAAATTTGTTTTGATGCATTTCTGAACAAGAAAATTGGGTAAATTGGGTAAAGCTTGTATCCATTTGATTGAACTTACCGGTCATTTGTAAGCTTTGAAAAAATCAACTTTTGTTTTTGGTTTAAGTTCTGATTTTGATTCAAATACCTCTTGCAAGAAAAAAGAGATTGTAATCACCAATTGCAGCACAAGTTTTCACCAGCTCAACTCAAGTACTTCACCAGCTCAACCATCTTATTGATCCACAACTGTTTCATCCACCAAGCCCAAGAATTGTATGCTGTATATATTCATAAATTGGCATATGGCAACTACCAGGACTATGTGCCAAGACAGATAAATACATAGATAAAACCAACCTGCATAGATATACTTGGCTGGTAAGGGCTAGAATAACAACAGATTGACATTGGCCCAAATACTCTGCAATAAAATTGAGGTCTGATTCAAGGAGCTTTGGCCAACATTTCTAGGAAACTTGTTTTGAGGCCAATAGCAATCATAGGCCAGATCCTTATCTCAGATCTGGCTTGAGACAGAAGGACCATAAATCAAGATTTCTCACAGCAGATCTTGACAGGAGCCATCCGGATGATAGATATACCCTGAGTATACATAGAGAGTGTCTAGGAGTTTCTGGCATATGCAAACACGCATGTTATTTATATCATCTTGAGATTATTCAAATGAAGAGAAGTCCAGAAACCTTGCCCACTTTCTGAGATTCTTGAGCTGACTCAACTTAGAACTTGATGTGAGGTATGTTTGACATGAAAAACCATCTTATTGTGCATCCAATCAGACAAAGAGGTCTTGTTTTCTTAGTTGATGTTTTCCTTCTTCCCTTGAGTCTTGACGTAGCTCACTATCTTTTGGCAGTGGTTTTTCTGCAAGCAAGAACCTATCAAGATGTGCTTCCTATAGACATATGTACATATGTAGAACGTGATCAGGAAGGTGATATATATGCTTTTATCTGGGGCAGCTGTATACAGTATGATATCCTCTCACTTCTGTGCGCAATTTTTTTGCCTATTTTTGTTAGACGTGATGAATTGTATTCACCCAGCAATTGCCGGCGAAATGAAAAGCTGAAAGGGTTTAAATTACGACTCTTTACTGATCATGACCACTTCCTCCACCAGTACTTCACTTCCAGATCTGAGAGGGTTAGTTTGCTTTGAAAACCATTTTCATTTAGTTCATCGCAAACCGAATTAACTTTTCATCGTCTCCCGAAAACAATTTATGATCAACGCGATATAAGCTTTCTGGCTGGTACACTTTCCGGTTTGACCAAATTAGCAGTCGGTCATCCATTCGATGTCCGTCACATTTCTTTCAAATGTTGAAGCAAATAACTTCGTGACCCATCAAATCTTAACTTCCGTGTTCGGTGTGGTGATAGACTATCAAGCTTCGTCTTCAATGTACTGCACCCGGCCAATACGCAGGTCCGTTAGATTGCTTACTTCAAACTGTTCGACAAGAAGTGAGTACATATCCAATTTCACAAGATCAAAGAACCACAAAAAGTTTTGCACTTTTCTCCAAAATATATAAAGTGACTGATCAATCACAAACCACTTTCATAGGGACCTAGAGCATTGTACAAAGGTGCCTCTCCACCTGCGATCGGTTGGGCAATGTCAGATGGGATTCTGATGGGATCGCTTGATCGTTATCGAGCTTGGCTTGCAAGGTCAACTGGTACTGATCCGAAATCATTATCGATACCTTGTCATGGTGTAAACAGTCTTTCTCCGTTTTACACTCTCTCTAACGTTTACCTATCTGTTTGATTCGCATTCATAATGTCTTCGATCTCTTCCTTCATTTTTTTTTTTTGATTCTTGTCATGACACTATTCCATGAAATCACCAAAAAAAAGCTCGCAGGTGCAATGGCTGGATGGACAGTTTGCACTGTAGTAACTCCCATTGAAACCCTGTAAGTCTCATCATCACTTTACCATTCTTTCATATATGCGTATTCTAAATGGTTTTCAAGACTGATTCTATCTTCAAATCAGTAAAGCGAAACTTCAAATGCAAACCTCAGATCCACGTACAAAACTTTACACAGGTCCAATTCATTGCGCTCAACAAATCTTTCGGAAAGACGGTTTAAAAGGTTTTTATAGAGCTTTACCAGCTACTTTACTCTTTAGAACTTGGTTTGGTGCAATGTTTGCATCATATCCAATCATTTCTTCTTCTTTACCTAGTTCACTCTCGATTGGTACTCGTGATTTTTTAGCCGGTGGTTTAAGTGCAGAAGTCTTTTGGATCTTTAGTTGTCCGTTTGATGCGGTTAAAAAGTTGATATTTTCTTTCTTTAGGTTATATGTGGGTAATGGTCAACTGATGAAGTTTTTCTTTTGACTTATTCTTCGATCTTTTGTTTTTAGTCGTATGATGTGTGATTCGATTACCAATCCCAAATATCCAACTTGGCTTTCAGCTGCTCGTTCAATTTGGGATCAAGGTCGATATACTGTTGAGTCACCCCCCGCAATCTTTCGTCATGCCTGCGCCTCTTTCTAGCCTCTCTCACCTCTTCTTCCCTTCTGTTTCTTTAGGCCTTTTATCGAGGGTTTGTTCCATGTGCTCTCAGAGCTTTCCCCACCAATGCCGCTGCTTTGTTTGTTTGGTTAGTAAAAACACACGGATTTTCTTTCCTGGGCATGTGTAAGATTGATCACTAAACCATCTATATGTTTACAGGGAGCGTAGTATGCGATTCATGCGAGGAGACTAAAACTCTTTGCATGGAGAGATTCATCTCAAAGCCTTTGTATCATAGACAAATCAATTCCTCAGCAATCAATATAGACTCAAACCTGACTCCTACTTTTTTATTTCTAACTCTATCTTTGTTATTATTGCTTTGTTGAACGTTATTTTGGATCTTGCACTACTTTTGAATTTCATACTATCAAGTTCCTTTTCGTTTTCACGACTTTCCTCATGATTGCCACTTATCATTCCAACTGATCCTTGTAACCCGAGCACATCTCGCTCTCATTTCTCAGCGGCTAATGAACCCTTGAATATTCCTCCTTGAACTTTTGCTATTCCAATACACACTTGCTCACCAATTCACATTGGTAGAACCGTGACCAAGTATCCAATATTCCTAGCGCTTTGAACCAATGATTGATTCCGAACTTCTTCCATACAGCTCAAAGAAACCAACTTTGTGGTCTTAGACCACCTGAAACTATAAACCATCGCTTCACTCAATCTTTTGCAACCCATCGTGATAAATTAGAAGGCTGGAAAGGTATGGATGTGAAAAATCAATATGTGATATGATTCTAGAGGTGGTCATATTCCCTTTCTATGGTTCTATCTCTTAAACAAACTGTTTTCACATTGCATTGCATTGCACAAGATCTGTCTTTGACAATGAAACTAAAGAAAGAATAAGACACTAACCCTTGTTCTATGGGAAATCTTTCATATATTCTATCTTACAACTTTGAGCATGTTGCAATCTTTGATTTTTCGTTGATTGTGATTTCACTTTCGTTTCATAGCACTCTTACTCATCTTCATCACTCTACGTTTTCTTTCTTTTTCATCAAATTTCTTTTGTTCACTAGCACTCATGTTTTTAACTTTTTCATCTTGAATCTCTTTTAACCTTTTTCTTCTTTCTTCTTCCTTTTCCTTTTCCTTTTCTTTTTTACTTTCACTTAAAATTAAATCTGAATATTCTGTTCTACGTTTTGCAAACTTTGAACCTGAGATTGAACTTAAGTTTAAGACGTTTAAAGAATTTAAGAGTGAGAATGTTAAGTTGTAAAGGTCTAGATGGTCTGAGGTTTGTGAAGGAGGTGGGAGTCGAAGTCGGAGTGTTATTGTTCGAGATTTAGGTGTGGAGAGTGTTGCCAGTCCTCTAAATATATCGAAAAGCAACGTTAGTCAAGCCGGCGATGACCTACAAAGAAGGACAGGCAAGGAGACATTTGACCTACTTTTCTGTTGGTTCTTCATGAGGAGTACCAGAGATGACCAAGCTATCGAACCACTTAAAGCTCTGAGGTTTTGAGTTGAGTAGTTCGGTCAACTCCTTAATCCTTGAAGATTGCAGGAGGCGTATTAGTAGATGCTGCAGGTGAAGTACAGTGAGATCGCAGGCCAGGTGAGAACCGTTTACTTACTTGAGGATCTGTTCAGTCACTTCGCCTGACTCTGACATGATGACCATATTTGAAGGTAAAGTACTAAGCTCCTTTACTTCTGTGAATGTTCTCTACATCCAATGCCACAAAGCGTGATGAGTCCCCCCAAAAGATAATCAATGTCAGTAAAAAAAGATATTCTGAAATCTAAATCAGTCCCTTACCACATCCCATCGATCCCTTCTAAATTTATCCATAACACTCTTTTCAACCAAAGCCCAAACAAACAAATCTTTGGAATCAAAACTTTTATCGAGCTTATTAGAAGGAATTTTAAAAACTAATTCGATTTGATCTAAATTTCCAGTCCAATTAAAATCAATTGAAGATCTTAAAAACTCATATAAAATCATAGGTAAATCTTGTTTAGGTCTTAAAAAGAACCATAAGTTTAACGATTCACAAAACTGACGACCCGTTGCAAAACTTATAAATCTTGAAGGTCCAATTTGTGCAAATAACGTTTTAGAATCGATTCCTACTTGAGAAAATTCTGTTTTAAGTTTAGGTGAGATGGTATTTAAGTATTCTTCTACTTTTTTTGTATTTGATCGTTTTCCAAGGTAAGTTAAGTAAGTGTAAACCAATACCAAAAGAATTAGGAAGGCGTCAAAAGTGTATTGAGCAGGTCTGAAAACAAATGATTTGAATCGATATTCTTTTCCATCGTATGTAGGTTCTTGGGAAGTTGAAGGTGGAACAAAAGGAGGTAGCTTGTTCGGCCATTTAAGTTTCCCTTCTGTTACGATTGGATCATGGGTTGCTTGAGGTGGGGTGGCAGGTGCGGGGGGATCTGGGACTGGAAGATCATCACCGTCAAAGGTTGGAGTCACATGTGGCGGCGTGGCAGGTTGAGGTGGTGGGACGACTTCTGAGGCTGTCACTGTTTTGCAGAATTGCTTCAGGTCAGCTTGACTCGAAAGCGTTGGTGATTTCAACTGAGAGAAGATTGAAAGCAACAGACCACCTAATCCTTGTCCGATTCCTCCGAATGGTGTGTTTGAGATTGACCAACAACCAAGGATGAGGAATACAAGAAGTCGAATAGACATCTTGATGAATTGCTGAGCTGGAATCCTGCAAGCGATCGAGTGAACTCGATTCGATCAAACGACAAATCATCAGCTTAAACTCACAAATTAAGTCAGAAACTATTCCGCCTCAGTAAAAATGACATAACCAGTCATCCCAAGAGTCCTCATGGTGGAGTCATCAAAGTAGAACTGGGAGGCTGAGCATTCATCAGAGAAGTGAGCCTAAGACTAATGATGACTCGACCAATGTACTTTTCTGCGTAATTTGCCAAAAGGCTTCCAAATTGTGATACCCTGAATCCCATTGTTCTCTTTGTTACCTGTTTCTTTCCTCACCGCTTTCTCAAGAATGCTTTTCCTTTTACTTTGTGTGCTTTTTAAATGTACTCTCATTTCTCTTATCGACAAATCCCCCGGATTCGTCTACCAATGTTGTCGACCGGATCCAAGTACCAACGGATCCGGCCATCCTAGCTTTATCTCGATGTCTCTGACATCACCGCGTTGTATCTTCCCACCTATTTCCTTATTTGTACTTTGCAGAGATGGATGTCTATATAAAGACATCCATCCCTCGCTTGTGGAATGAAACCTCAAGCAGCTTCTCCTACAGTTTCATCGCACCGATCCTTGTTAGGAATAACAAATAATTATTTGTTAGTAAAAATTAACCCTTTTCCTTTTTTTTTCTAAAAGAAACACCTTTCCCAAACAAACCGGAGAAAAGAAGACTCCCTACTAAACCTGTGACCTCCTCTTCTCAAAACAGTGCTCAACAACACCAATCAAATTCAATCTCGAAAAAAAACCCAAACAGCACTAACCCTCACAGGCTCGATATCTTAAAGTCGTGAGTTATTCTCAAATTCCTTAGCTAGTTATTTCGATTATATCTCAAACGACTGCTTCTCTTCGATTAAAAGAAAAAAAAAAGGACAGACTCAAAAGTCCTCAAAACATACAACTAACAAACCAAACAAATAAAACGCGCACCACCTTTTTAGGTATCAACAAAGTAACAACTAGAAGATTTTAATCTTTATAAAGTACGTACATTTTTTGTAGACTCTGATCAAGTCCCACGAAAAATTGTTAATAGACAATCCGTTATTTTTCTAAAAAGAACAGAAAATAAAATAAAACCATGGATGAACAAAACGGTTTCGTACAAATCCCAGCGGAGGACATCAGGCTCCTACGAGCCCAAATTCAACAGACTAATATCGACTCACAGAATACTGCCCAGGCTCATGCACAAGCACTCTCGGAACTTTGGGAGCAATACCAACAAGCATATCAACGCCAGGCTTTAGAACTCGCCGACACCAAGAACATCATCCAACAATTACAAACTAACCAACAACACACTTATAACAAAAAACCCGACGCCTTCCGCGGGGAACCTCGAAAATTTGAAGGGTACGGCGACAACGCGGAGACCTGGATTCTAGAACTGGAATCTAATTTTCGCATCCATCATTATCCCGAGAGCGAGTGGGGAGAAATGATCGGGGCATACTTGGACGAGGAATCCAAGATGTATTGGCTCTCCGAACGAAATGCCACCGGAGGAATCATCACCAACTACCAAGAGTTCAGAAGAAAGTTTCTTCAAAAATACAACTTCAGTCTAACTATGGACGAGATACAAGAAAAAATCAAACTACTATACTACCGTAACAACATACATGACTACATCTTACAATTCCGAAAATTGTCTTGTCAACTACCCATGGACAAATATTGCTTCTTCGACAGAAAATTTGCATTTTTGGATAAGCTCCCTGCTAACATTCGAGAATGGGCAAATCGACCCGAAATTGTTGATAAAGAAGATATGGAACTAATCTATTCCGCAGCTAGAGAACGTGATCGACACAACAAGGTTAATAACCGCAGCTTCAAGACACCAGAGAGCAAACCCACATTCGAACGCAAGTTTAGCCGACCTTTCTCGCGAAACCACTACCATCGGTCATCAAACTTTGGAAAACCCCCCGCGGTTACCAACTCATCAGGACCTATCACTACACAAAATATAATATTTTCTGGGCAGAAAATTAAATTATTGATACACAAAAATATTGAGAGGCCAGGAGAAGGGCAAAAATAAAATAAAAATATGCATCTTGTTCCCTGCGGTGAGAGCTTCACTCTCCATATTTTTCCATATTTTTACAGTCCGTATTGATAAGTGTACTAACAATAAACCTTCATAATCATCCAATTACAACCTGTAACAAGCACTGAAATTTGGCTCATTAGTGTTTAGAGAAACTTTTTGATTTCTGAAAACACCTATAACTTTGTCAAATCTGCCTCAAAACACTCGATTTCAAGTGCATTAGAAAGCTGAACTCTTCCTCTCAAACTTTCATAAGGTCAAGAACTATGTAGCTAGTATGACAATCATTCTATGGATCTGTATGTACAAATGTACAAAAAAGATTATATCTTTTTTAGCAGACCAGCATGCTGTGTGGTCCTATTATGAACTATTTGGAGGACAATTCCAGCTTACCAATGCACCCAAAATCGAGCGTTTTGGACCGGAATTGAAAAAGTTATGAGTATTTTCAGAAATCAAAAGTTTCTCTAAACACTAATGAGCCAAATCTCAGTGCTTGTTACAGGTTGTAATTGGATGATTGTGAAGGTTTATTGTTAGTACACTTATCAATACGGACTGTAAAAATATGGAAAAATATGGAGAGTGAAGCTCTCACCGCAGGGAACAAGATGCATATTTTTATTTATTTTTTGCCCTTCTCCTGGCCTCTCAATATTTTTGTGTATCAATAATTTAATTTTCTGCCCAGAAAATATTATCTTTCTTGTAGTGTATGGACCTGGACCTGATGGACAAAGAGAAAATGAAGGTAACCTCTCAGACCGAATGTTATAATTGTCACGGACACGGTCATGTCGCACGAAACTGCACTAACTCAAAAAAACCTTCCAAACCAAACTTCAAGAAGCCAAGCTATTCGAATGGCGATCGTCGCAAACAGAGTTTGTTAATGATAGATATAGATCCAAGAACCTCTCACGGAATGGATACCACACCCTTAATAGGCCCCGACGGGACGATGATGAAAGCCTCAAAGGAATCTAGTTTGAACCTTGACGACCCGGATCTTGATGGAAGAGAGGACCTAATCTCGAAGGTCAAAGCTTATAAGGAAACCCTCAAGAACCCCGAGCGCGCGGAAGAACTAAAAAAGGAACGTGACGCTCTAACCAAACTATTCCAGGAACAAGCTGAGGATCTCTCATACCGATGTTGTAAGTCGTGCCTAATTTTTGGCAATGAAGATAGCCCAGAAACCATTTCTAAAGGTATTGAATATTTCAACCTAGATGCCAAGCAAGTGAATAACCTCATGAAAAGACCCCTGGAGGAAGACTCACTTGGTGAAGGAACGAGTGAAAACCCAATTCTGGTACACTCCAGCCCACCGCTCACGTCCGGATATTCAGGGTACCTAGGCCTACCAATCCCTGGATATGAACAAAGATCTCCGTCACCAGAACTTGCAAACATCGACATGTCCAACTTACCGTTCCCGACAACTTTACCCACGGACGAAAAGGCAAAAATGACTCCCGAAACAGAGTCTGAACAATGCCTCCACCTGTTACCCCTAGGTGAGAGAACATTCTCCTACCCTGAAGTAAAAATGGACGGTCGTCGGATTGACGGGTTTGGTTTTACCAACACTCCCTTCCACTCACCCCTAGGAGAAAGAACTAGGGAGGAGCTAGGAGAAAGAGAACTTGAACATGTCAAATCATGGAATAAGATTATGAATCATAGCAAAAAGAGACCTAGGTGGACGGGTTATGCAGTTAGCGGACCTAAGGACCTGGGAGATTACGATGGCGAAGCCATCCTAACACTTGAAGAAGGAGGATTATATGACAAAAGCCTACAACTTAATATAGTCGATCTAGCAACCCATAGTGACTCCAGCTCATCGTTACCAACCTATACGAGCCACTTCAGAAACTACCCTTTGGCCACCATCCTCGATACCGGGGCTGCGGCAAACTATATCTCCGAAGATAAGATCAAGAAGATGATCGAACTCCACCCTAACCGGATTAAGCTTGAAGAGACTCAAGGCCAGAAAGTCAGGTTAGCAAACGGGGCGCACGAAACCTCAACCAAGACAGCGACCTTCGAACTGGAAATTGACAACTGTAACAATGGCGGCTTCTTCAGGTTCACCATCAAGGCATACGTATTACCTTTACCTAACGTAGAATTAATTCTAGGGATGCCCTGGTTCAAAGAACATAAGCCAAAAATCAATTTTAAAAATATGGAATATGAAATCGAAAAAAACTCTCACTGCCACAACTTCATTCCAAGGCCAAACGGCAGCAATCTTTACACTATGGCTGTTGATGCACTACACAGTATCCTCGAAAAGGCGGCTCGCGATACGGCACCGGAATGCTTCGAAGAAGAAATCAAGCAAGTGGAACGAAAACACAAACACTTTATTGACACAGGCGATAGTACACCAATTAAAACTCACGGACGTCCCTTGACACCACCGGAACACCAGCTTATCGGGCAATTTGTGGAAGAAGGATTAGAACAAGGAATAATCGAAAAAACCGATTCCCCTTGGAGCTCACCCTTGCTTTTGGTAAAAAAACCCGATGGTTTGACACGGGTATGTGTCGATTATCGCTCACTAAATAAAGTAACACGTAAAAATGCTTACCCATTACCGCGAATTGACGACGCGTATCAATTTCTATCGGGCGCGAAGTACTTCACCACGATTGATCTAAAATCCGGTTTCTGGCAAGTACCCATGGCACCGCAGGATAAAGAAAAAACAGCATTTACATGTCGACAGGGACACTTTCAATGGTCAGTAATGCCCTTTGGACTTTGCAACGCTCCGGCAATGTTCCAGGAAATGATGAATGACATCCTCCGTGATGTCATTGACAAGTTCGCACTGGTATACTTAGATGATGTTATTATCTTTTCTAGGACACCCGAGGAACACTTGGAACATGTTAAACGTGTATTCGAAATACTAAAATCAAACAGGTTAGTAGTCTCGCCAAAAAAATGTCAATGGGGCAGAAACTCATTACTGTTTTTGGGACATATTGTGGACGGCAGTGGGATCAAGACTAACCCAGAAAAATCAACAAAATCATTGAATGGCCACAACCTGATAACATCTCCAAGGTGAGAGGATTCCTAAACCTCTGCACCTATTACAAAAGGTTTATTAAAGGCTTTTCCTCAATTGCTTCCCCAATTTATAAGCTCACCGAGGGATCTCCGAAGCCGGGGTCTTCGATTCATTGGGGGGAAGAACAACAATTGGCCTTTAATACACTAAAAGAAGCACTGTCAAGATCAGTACCCCTCCAACATCCAACACCATTCCGCCCATTTGTATTGGACACCGACGCGTCAGGAACAAACATCGGCGCGGTGTTACAGCAAGATGAACAGACAGAAGTTCCAAAACTGGAAGTTTTGATTACGCTCTGTATCAAAAGAATCTTAAAAATAACAACCTACGTCCAATAGCCTTTGAATCAAGAAAACTATCTAAAACGGAACAGAATTACTCGGCCCAAGAGCGAGAACTGCTCGCTATTGTACACGGACTAAAACATTTTCGCGGATACATAGAAGGTTCCCCAGTCTTAGTCAGAACCGACCACGAATCCCTCAAACACTTCAAGACTCAGAAGTTTATAAACCGAAGACTAGCTTGTTTTGTAGACGAGATAGAATTCTTTGATACTCACATAATATACCGACCCGGTAAAGAACAACTTGCGGCAGACTCCTTGTCACAAAAACCCAACACCAAATTCGACCTCAACCCACCAGAAGTGGCACAGCCACTTTTTAACATGGACGGACAAAAAGATCCCTATAAAGTCCTAGTCGAATACAAATTAAAACTCCTGGCCGGAGTCGACCCAGCCACAATTGGAAACGGATTGTTTCGAATGATCCAGAATGAAATGGTCTTATATGAGGACGAAAATTTAAGCACGATCCCTCGAATTGTGGCAACTAATGAAGGCAGAGCTGAATCTCTAGCTTTCCAGATTCACAAAGACCTGGGTCACCGGAACGTCGAAGACGTCATCACCGCTGTCAAGAAACGGTACTGGTTCCCATGCTTAAGCCAGACCGTCAGGAACTCGGTGTCGCTCTGTGCAGCATGCCAAGTACATGCCGCACCAACAAAACAACAAACCCTACCTATCCAGATGATCACTAGAGGTAAGCCTTTCAGAAAATGGGGCCTAGACTTTGTGGGACCACTCGTGAAAACTACTAATAATCACCAACATCTTGTAACAGCCATCGATTATGGAACTGGATGGGCGTACGCGAAGCCACTCAAAAGGACTTCCGCCACAGCCGCGATCGACCTTCTAAAAGAAATCACATTAAACCACGGTTTACCCGTTGAAATCACTACTGACAACGGCTCGGAATTCATTTCACGCGAATTCCGGGAATATGTACAAGAGATGGGCATCCTACATATAACTACAACCGCGTATCACCCTCAAGCTAACGGCCTAGTAGAGCGTTTTCACGGGACACTCCTGAACGCCTTACGGAAGATGTGTAGCCCCTACAATCAAGTTCGCTGGGACGAATACTTAAACTCATGCTTATTCGCACACCGAGCATCATACTCTCACTCAATGAAAGCCTCACCTTACTTTATGGCTTATGGAAGTGAGGCCCGCCTACCATCCGAAAAAGTAAGTGTTAACTTCAATAACTCTATCGAAAACTTGGAATTAATCCATAAACAACGCAACCTAGACATCAGGAAGCACGCCAGCAGACAGGACGAGCTTATCGAAGATCTTAATTCAAGAGCACGAGAACGAAATACTAGAACTGAAGAGACCTACACGGAAAGAAGTCTTAAGACAGGAGATCTCGTCCTACGGAGCTTCGAAGGACAACCATCAAAGTTGCATCCAAAATGGGATGGCCCTTTTGCTGTTAGAGAATGTTACCCCAACGGTACGTATTCCTTAATGACTGCGAATGGCCATATCTTGAATGCTAAAGTAAACGGAGCTCGTTTAAAACTTTATAAAGGAAGATCCGCGGAATTCTTCTATGCCTCTCGGGAACTCCACAAACGTGACAAACGCGCAAGAAGAATTAGCGCAACCCGCTGTTGATATAGAACGAGAAGAGTTGTTAGCGAGAAGAGAAGAATACCTCGTAGATCTGGCAATAAAACTACATAACGAGTTATACGCAGATGAAGCAAACAGAAATCTCAGAGACTTCTCCGCCAGAGCTTTGGGCGCTCTCTCTTACTACTTGCACGGCGCGTCGGAGGTATTAAACGACGAAATACAACACAATGAAAACCGTGCTGAAAACTAGGAAGTTTCCATACTTAAAAAGGGGGTGATGTGATACCCTGAATCCCATTGTTCTCTTTGTTACCTGTTTCTTTCCTCACCGCTTTCTCAAGAATGCTTTTCCTTTTACTTTGTGTGCTTTTTAAATGTACTCTCATTTCTCTTATCGACAAATCCCCCGGATTCGTCTACCAATGTTGTCGACCGGATCCAAGTACCAACGGATCCGGCCATCCTAGCTTTATCTCGATGTCTCTGACATCACCGCGTTGTATCTTCCCACCTATTTCCTTATTTGTACTTTGCAGAGATGGATGTCTATATAAAGACATCCATCCCTCGCTTGTGGAATGAAACCTCAAGCAGCTTCTCCTACAGTTTCATCGCACCGATCCTTGTTAGGAATAACAAAATGACTGAAAGAAATAGCGCGAAAAGCAAAAGCAAATCGAAATGAAAGAGAAACTTTTGGATGAGAGAATGGTAAAGATGATATCTATAAGACCATTCAACATCCTTACCATCGAAGAAAAAATTAACATCCCTTCAAACTTCCCCAGACCTAGCATCAGCAACATCCATTCATTATACCAGCACATTCATTCTCAACTTCAATAAGTTCAAACACAAACCATCAAAAAAAATGCTTCGATTATCAGTCTTCCTTTTCGCTCTGTTCTTCCTTGTGACAATCTCAAAAGTCGCTACCTTACCAACCCCTCAACCCTCATCGTACCTAGAAAAAAGACAACCCAACCCACAAGACTCGGCACAATTTGTTGATGTATCAAATGTTGTAGCACCTGCAACATTAGAAGAGGCATATGCAATCTTAGGCTTAGGTAAACCACCAATGACACAAGAAGAGGCATATCGGAATAGTGTCAATAGTTTACCTGAATCTTCTAACTGGGCACAAACTGTTGATGTATCAAATGTTGGACCACCTTCAACATTAGAAGAGGAATATCAAGGTCTAGGTACACCACCAATGACACAAGAAGAGGCATATCTGAATAGTGTCAATAGCTTACCTGAATCCTCTAACTGGGCACAAACTGTTGATGTATCAAATGTTGGACCACCTGCAACATCAGAAGAGGAATATCAAGGTCTAGATACACCACCAATGACACAAGAAGAGGCATATCGGAATAGTGTCAATAGCTTACCTGAATCATCCAACTGGGCACAAGTTGTTGATGTATCGAATGTTGTACCTCCCACTCCATGAATTGTTGATTGAAGTTGTACCTCATAAGACCACCTCTTTTTTCCAAGATTCAATTGACTTAATTACACATATGCAACAAAGCTTTTTTTTCTATATAAATGTTTGTCATTTGTGATTTATTGACTCAAACCAAAACTCATCGATGATTTGTGATCATTATAAGGTCTGAATGTATTGAGAATTGTCGTCTAGATCTGTGAACTTCAGCACCATTGTCTACCAACTGTTGATTACGACGAAATATCGAGTCATTCGCAGTTTTCATCTTTTCAAAGTGCTTTATTGGCATATTTGCATACAACACTATTTGAACAATACAAAATAAAGGACTAAGTAGTACGCCTTAGAAGAGCGGTCATCTAGTCGAAGACAGGTGAATCGATGACTTTTGGACGCGTATAGAACCTTACTTGCCTTTTTGGGATTCTTTTTGATGTTGAAGCTTGCACTTCGGAAATAGGTCATTTCAAAACAACTTAATTCTCAGAGGAATAAGTGCGATATCCACTTGCAATTTCCTTTTCCATATAGCGGCAGTCTTTTACCGGTTGTTCACCGGCCTCGACTTTCAGTTGCTTCACGAGTTTTGATGGAACCTTAATCAAATGCTCAAAATTACTTTGCTCTTTGCTGAGCAATTCAATTCCTAAATACAAAGCAACTGAATTCAAAGTCATGCGATCATGTGAAAGGTTCTAACTTCTCGGCTGTTCTCGGCTATAGATGTCAAGAAATCTCAGAGAACTTTGAGACAAAGTCGCACGTAAACAAGTCATTCACTTTCATGAAGAGCAAGAACAAAAACACGAACTAGACTTACTTACAAGATGAACGATTACAATGGATTACCATTAGATGTTATCACTCAAGTCCTACGGGAATTTGTCAAGAACTTACCAACAAAAGTTCCAATCAGTGATTCAACCGCTACCGAACCTTACCTCGAAGATTCATCGTATACCAAATTGATTAACTTGAGATTAATTTCAAAAACCTGGTCGACAGCCGTTATACCATTTTATTTTGAAACGATTGCTATGCATAATGCCAAACGTGCTAAATTGATTATAGATAAGTTTAATGGTGATTTCAATCGACTCCATTCTTATTGTTCTGTTAAAAGACTTACTATTAAAGAAATATGGTATTCAGAAAAAGAAGGCAAGTCATCCAAGATTGTCAATCATTCTTATGCTCGTCTTGAAAAAGTTTTCTGAAGTATCAATTAACATTTTCTTAACGTCTCCTCCTTCCTTCATAGGTATATCTGAATCATCTATGGTTTCAGTGAATCAATTGACAAAACTGATCGAGTTAGTCGGTAAAAATTTAAAGACTTCAAACCTTACTTTTATCAATTCCATTGGAGCTTCTTCTGAGCTAATCGAGGCTTTTAAAATAGCTGAAAATTTAATATCGTTAGAAATTTCATCTATATACAATTTCGAAGGAAAATTAGAATTTGGAACTTACAATCCAGACTCAATATCAAGATTACTCTCAGTATTACCACAACTCGAATGCTTATCATTTCATTATGATGCAACAGAACCTATCAAATTAGAATATCCCGCTTTATCGAATATACGTCACCTTTGTTTTACACATGATGAAAATAATTTAGAAGCAATGACTCACTTTACACAAGCCACCAAAAAGACGTTAAAAACTATTGAACTTTTTTCAGCTCCTGAAGATCCTACAGGTCTAGGTGAAGTTTTTGAACCGATTAAGGAAACATTAGAAGGTTTATTTACAATTTCATTTACTGAACAAGTTATTGAAGATGTTACAAATTTAGAATTTCCAAACTTAAGAGTGATTAGATCTCGATACTGTCCAGATCAAATCATGACACGCATCTATTGGTTAGAAACACCCATGATAAGAAACATTAGAATGATTGTGCTGGATTTAAATTGTAGTCAAGATTATTGGAATAGTGCTTTAAAAATGGCTGGTGTGAATGCTTTGAAGAAAGTACCTAAGTTCAAACATATGGTTTTCACCACACACGGTGATCCTGAAGTTGAAGTTATTGATTCTAAAGTAATTAAAGCTTTCGAACCATATGGTGTTCAATGTCATCTCACTCACCATTTAACATGCGATGAAATAATGGTTTGTTCAAAACTTTCTATTCATATATATTTCACAAATCATATTTTATACTGATTCTTTTATCTGTATTTCAGGAACTAGATATCAAACTAAATGGTCCATTTGAATGAGTCATTGGATTTACTCAACACTCATTACAAACAAACCTCTCAACTATCTTTGTACGCTTTCTAGAAAATTGTAGTTTTGTGAATAACAGAAACAAAATCAATGATGATACATATCCAGATATCTTTGTTTGGATTCTTGGGCGCTGATGCAAGAGCAGGGCCCTGGTATGCTCCTATAAGGGGTACTGATCTGAAAATGTGACTTTGAGCTTCCGCAGAAACTTGTCCCTGGCTTTACCCATAGCTTTAGGACAAGTTTGATCTTTCTAATCAGCTGTCAAGGCTTTAGCAACTCTGGAATGAGCAGAACCTGGCAGAAATCATCCAAGAATGTGCAAAATCCCATGTGTCATATCTCCACAGGAGCTCAAAAGTCACAATTCCAGATCAGTACCCCTTATAGGAGCATACTGGGGTCCTGCAAGAGCTGTGTTGAAGAATACTGATGGAGTCATGTAATGAGCAAATATGGGTAAAGATTACAGTGTTAGTGTAGCTTATGGTATTACAGATGGATGGGTACATGGGATTTATATACATGTTCAGATGCTTTCTTCTCTTTTCTTTTCTCAAGGATTCTCTTTCCCTCCTTTCTCTCTAGTTAGAAGCTCTTGTATTGATAGACTTGTGGAACATAATTCTAGGAATACACTCTGGTGCTAGTTCTGTCTGGCTACAGCCTTGTGAGTCTGAGCTTCATGAGTGAAGGTCAAGAATCACTTGACCTTACAAGTCATCTGTTGAGGATCAGACAAACTTGCATTGTAACCATCACATATTTTAATCAGAAAGTCAAAACACCTGAGCACACAGATAAAGACTTGGTTAAGATGATTTGTGGATACTGTTGATTGAACCCCTAATCCACATAGGCTCAGATAGGGCTCCATTTTCTTCTATTGCAATGAAAAACCAAACTTTAATTGATGAAAAGATGGATTGACCCAAGAAAAATGTTTGTATTGCCAAATTAAAAATAGTATATCTATAGGCCCCTCTGTGAAGCCTAGTGGTCTCTAGATGCAACCCTCAGGCTCAAGCCACAACATAAACACAGATATGCCCTTTCCAGATGTGCATCTACAACCACAACACAGGGAAATATGGCACTATTTTTGGTGGATGGAGGGGACTGCAAGAGTTCTGTGGTGATTTGGCATAAAACAATGTGTATCTTAAGATATTTTCAATCCAGAAAATTGATGAACTTTGGATGTGACAAGGTTAGGTGTAAAAATCATCATCAACAAGATTTCCTTTGAGGTCATAATTGCAGGTGGCTCCCAGGCAGGGAGAGCTCAAGGGTGTGAACAAGGTTTTTTTGCCTGAAAAAATTACTTGGTACATCATCTTGAGATCCGGACGCTTGTCTCTGAGCCAATTATCCTGGCAGGGCTTCAATTTCTCAGAAGGCCAGTTTTATTATACAAATTTTGGAATGCAACAATTTTTGCCCAAAAGAAAGAAGCTCTCACTTGGAGTGAGGTTTAAAATACTATCAACTTTGAACAAGATGCTCCAAAGACACAAGAAGTGTCTGGGTCAGCTCTCAAAACCATAATGTTCAAAGTATTTGACCATTATAAGTACAGTCATTTCCAAAAGCTTGTCACAAATTCACCACCAATTTGCTTGATTTTTGTGTAAAAGTTGCCTCCATTCTTCCTCAGCCCGGCTGTGACAGGGCTATTTGCATTGGATCATGGCCATGTCATGGACTCATGTGATGAGCTCGGGGATTGTGGTACAAACTTTTCCTCCAATATACCAATCATATGAGTTTGAAGAACAATGAATCTATGCTGCAAGGGGCATGAAGGCTATCACTAGATTTACTCTTGATCAAATGAAGACAACATCATAAAGACCTCCACAGCATCTCACGAGCTAATTCAAATAATTTGTGCTTCAAAAATCAAACATCACTAGAAAAAAAACAAGGAAGATAAGATCAATCAATTTGATAGATTATCATTTGAGATGATCAACCATATCCTAACATAATTTGTGATTCAATTATACAAAGAAAGTGACATATCTAAAGGGACTCCTTCTGAACCTTACCTTGAGAACTCATCATAAACCAAATTAATTGTGTTGAGGTTAATTTCCAAGACTTGGTCAAAATGTGTTATACAATTTATCCAATGTTTGTATATATCAGTCAAAAAATGAAGAAAAAAAGTTGTTAACAAATCAAGACCACAAAATTCAAAATAAACAAATGACAGAGAAATTATAAAGGAAAAACCAATTTATGAAATCAATCTAATTTTTATAAATTCATCAACTTAGAAGTTTCTTCAATTTATGGCTAAAAACACTTCATCTGAAAACAAATAAACTCTATAAGATTGACAAAATAAATCTAATTCACAAACATTACCTAAATATGCATCTACTATACCTCCCTATACCAAAAACAAAACAGTTTTGCAGTTTGAAGAAATGAATGAGAGGAAGAGAGGGGTTGAGAAGGAAGGAAAAAGTGACCAAACCTAATAATTCAACAAACAGATGAGCCATAATGGGTGCAGATGGAGGTGAATTTTTTGATGCCATAAGACATTGTGGTAAGATTGGGTCAGTTGAATTGGGTTGCATTGTTTACAGTAGAAGGGTTATGGTAGCGGTGATTCTAAGATAGCAAGCTTCAAAATATGTAGGTGATGAAATCACGCTTGCAAAGTACAAATCCATTGTAAAATGAAGTGACAGTCATCAGCTCCTCTCTGAAATCTACTACAACGGATGCACCTTTCCCAGCAGCATATCTGAGCAGAGGAGTTCAATAACCTGTGTGGAGTACTGTAGAATGTGGTGTCAATCCCTGACGCGCAGCGCACTGCACTGCGCGAAAACTGCACTGCGAGGTGCCCCATCGCAGCGGCAGTGCGGGAAAACCACACTGTGCTAGTTAGCACCGCCAGGCCGTGGTGGTTTTCACCACACTGCGCAAAAGCACACCGCAGCTCAGCACATTGTGCGCAAACTGCGCGGCCCTGCGCGAGTCCGAGAAGGTACGGGCACTGGTCAGATACCCTGGCTCCACTTCAGCCAAAGCAGGGATGCCACTCCCCTTGCATCCCAATCTCGCCGATATGACACCACAACCACAATTGCCTGCCGTGATTCTAGGAATCTGCCTTGACCAATCCTCGATCCAGATCATGGACTTCCGGATAATGATCTACGATCATCTAAGCTCAACGAATCAGCCAAAACATGGCGCCATAAATCATCTAGAACTATCTCAATCTTACAACACTTTTCACAAGTTTTACTTTTACTTATTATTCCACTCATCTAAAGCTCACAATAATAATCTTTCCAGTATTTACTTTTACTTATTATTCAACTCATCTAAAGCTCAGAATAATCTTTCCAATGTTTACTTTTACTTGTTATTCAACTTACACTACACAAAATGTCATCTTTACCGGGCGGTAAAGAAAACTACTGACATAGAAAAGTCCTGAGGCAACAGGAAGAGAGCTAAAAATCTGAAAAAATATGCACCTTGTTCCTAGATGTTGGGGCGTCATGACAAGTACTTTTTTGTATTTTACACACAGATATTGGTTAATGTACTAACAATAAAGGCTGAGAATCATCAAAAACCCACCTGTAACAATACCTGAAATTTGGCCCTTGACTTTGAAGACAGGATTTTGGAATCTTCAAACATCAATAACTTTTGCAGTTCTGAATCAAATCACTCGATTTGAAGTGCATTAAAAAGGGGAGCCTTTCCTCTACATTTTTCATTGAGACATCACATCTGTAGCTGGTCTAAAAAAGATCCTACAGAGCTATTCATGCAGAACTGTTTGAACATATGTAGAGTGTTTACATGACTAGATAGCACCTTACTAACATTATGAAGTGGAAGGAGAATAGTTCAGCTTTTGAATGAACCATAAATTGAGTTATTTGGAGCAGAATTGCAAAAGTTATTGAAGTTTTTAGACCACAAAATATTGTCTTCATACTCATGACCCAAATTTCAGGTATTGTTACATGTGAGCTTTTGATCATTTTCAGCGTTTATTGTTAGTACATAAACCAATATCTGCGTGTAAAATACAAAAAAATACTCATCATGACGCCCCAACATCTAGGAACAAGGTGCATATTTTTTCAGATTTTTAGCTCTCTTCCTGTTGCCTCAGGACTTTTCTATGTCAGTAGTTTTCTTTACCGCCGGGTAAAGATTACATTTGGTGTAGTGTTATCTAAATCTCACAAATTACCTAATTTTTATTTTCACAAAATGAAACAAAACACAAACAAAACGAGTTCTTCCGCCAAGTCCAAGTCAAAAGCCTCAATCCCATCTCAATCTACATCATCTTCAAAGACTTCTTCCGCTGCTGTCCGTAAATCTGCAGTCAAGAAGACAGTTGTAGCCATCGAATCCGAACCCGAAGATGACAAAGATCCTAACTATGTCACTGAAGACGAAGAGGAAGATGCGGAGGAGGATCCTCAGCCACACGAATCTGCAGACAACTCTTTTGAAAGCACTGTTGATCCCGCCAATGGAAAGCGCACTCGAAAAGCCCCAGTCGTCAAATCTTCGGTCAAATCTTTGGTTAAGTCTTCGGTTCAAAAAAAATCTGCTGGATCTAAGCGTAAGAAACAGGTAAGTCCTCTCTAACTTGCTTTGTCATTCCATGATTCTAACATTCACTTACTTTTGTCCCTGTCTCCTAAGTCAAAGAACTACAAAATGCCTGCCAATATCGACCCGGACCAAGACTCGGACATTGAAGAAATACCACCTCCTGTTGAAAAGTCCAAAGTTGTATACGACCTGCCTAAGTTATACTACTCTCCTGCACATCATGGGAAAGATGCAGATGGTAATTTGAAAGATCCGGTAATGTCATTTTCATCAAGTTACTATATTTTCTTTCATTGTAATGAATTTCAATCTAATTTTGAAATCTAGAAACCTGGCGAAAAGCCATGCTATCACACATGCTTATGGTGTGACGGCGAGTACAAGATCAATGCAAGGAGCAAATTCAACTTGAGAGGCCACCGTGATGGCGACCTTGGTCGAAAACCTTGCGAAGGTCAAGAAAATGCGATCGCTGCCGGTGCCAATCTTCCTCCGACTTATCAGGAAGAAGAAGCTCAAAGATTGGCTGCAGCGAATGCTCAGAATCATCATCACGAAAAGGAATCACTTGCCAACTTCTTAAATTTACCTAAGTTTTCGGTTTCATTATTGAACATGATACTCGTTCTTTGGCTGTTAAGAAACTGCATCCCTTGGCTTTGTATGGAAGATCCTTATCTTCAAGCGGCCTTTTCTTTATGCAATCCGAATGCTACTCTTTGGTCAGCATTGTGGTCGGCTCGGCGTGCGATGGAGTACTTTGAGGAATTTCGTGGTAACCTGGTTAAAACCCTTCAGGTAAGTTTATTGAATATGTTTTAATATTTCCTTTATTCCTTTTGATATTTTGCTTTGATCACATACTCAATGAGTTACTGGATACTATCATAGGCTCTTGACTTGAAAGTCTGTGTCATACACGATGTATGGACCACCAAAGGTGGTAAACGTGCCTTCATTGGAGTGGCGGTGTCCTATATAGATGAAGACTGGGAGTTTCATGTCACACACTTGACATTGAAACTAATCGCATGGAATCATTATGGAGCTTTATTAGCTCGACCTGTAGGGAAATTCCTTATCCGACATGGTCTTCATAAAAAGATGAGTATCTTTTCTTTTTTGCTTTCTTTTATGTTTATTTGTCTCTTGCTAATTATTTTCCGAATATACATGATAGCGCAGACGACTGACTCAGGATCAAGCAACCCAATATTGGCAACCAAGCTTCAAAAAATGTTCATGGATTGCGATGACCCAATCTTTTGGGATTCATCTCGAAATCAGATCAGATGCTACTGTCACAAGCTAGCATTAACAGTTAAATCTGGGCTCGAAGTAATTGGATTAGGAGATCACGGCCGAATCAAACCCACGGTCCCTTCTGGAAAACGCCTACGACTCCTTCTTCCCGACAATCATCTTCCCCCACCGAAGATTGTAATGGCTGACGGCAAAGTGGTTGATGAAGACGGATTACCGGACGGCGACATTGATACAGATAGCGAGGAGGTTACACATGAAGGGTTGACTGTGGCAGGAAATGACATAGAGGCCAGTGACGACTCAGATGACGAGGCAAACGCATCCGACTACAAGGTCCAGAAGCCTGACGCTTTACTCTTACCTCGAGCAGTCACCAAGGTAAGTCTTAGTCACACCTGATATGTGTTATGAATTAATTATACTGATGAAGAAATATGTTTTCAAAGGTGCGAAGAATTAACAAATTGATTACTTCGAGTGCACCTCGACTTAATCATTTCAAGACTTGCGCGTCTCAGCTAGGTTTTGAGGGTCGTGGACTGATTGCTGCTCATGGTCAAAGATGGAATATATGGCTTGATGCTCAAACACGATTGTGCAAAGCTAAATCGGTAAGTTTTTTTTCATATAAATATTCTTCCTTTTCAAAATTCTTACTACTATTCATATTTAGGTCATTAACTTCATGATCAACGAAGATCAAGAAGGCTTTTATGAAGGTATTACGATAGCTCCAGACGAATGGAAGGCAATCGAGTCTTTGAATGATGTCCTGGGGGTAAAATTATTTCATTGTTTTTTTAATTGCATTCAACTGATTTTTTCTATACTTGAATTTTTGTTCAGCACTTTCTACGATCCACGAAGAAAATGGAAGGTGACGGGCCCACTGGTGCCTCCGTCCTCTTCCAGTATTCTGGATTGATTTTGGTATTGGCTGACATCAAGCAGACAACGCAACATCAAGGCCTATCGGAAATGATCACTCGTATGATTACACAACTCCGAGATTATCAGACGGAAGCTCTCCACTGCGATCCAATTGTTATGGCGGCAGTACTTAATCCACGGCTCCGAATAGAGTATTTCAATAACAAATATCCTGACTATGCGAACCGAGCCGAGGAACTATTTCGCCTTAAGTTTTCTGAATATGAAAACAATTGTCCTGATTTTGCTTCAAAGCCGACTTCTTTGGCTAATACTGAACCAGAACAATTCGACCCTTTGGATGAGTCTAATGTTTTTGGTGCCTCTTCTACCAAAACTCTTACAAGCGATGAAGAAGTCAATCAGTATCTATCAGGAATGCGTCCATGTGAGCATGACACGGACTTACTTCAATGGTGGCGTGTACGTAACCTTTGTTTTCCTTCTCTTTGTATAGAAACTAACGTCAACTTTATCGTGCAGATGAATCAAAAGCAATTTCCAAAACTCGCTAAGATGGCTCGTGATTACCTCTGCTGCGTTGGATCATCCTGCGCCGTCGAGAGGACTTTCTCAACTGCGGCAATCGTGTGTTCTAACCGACGAGGGGGACTCACTTTGAGATCGATTGAAAGAGCTGTTGGCATCTGCCAATGGCTCAAGCAAAAGTTTGTACCAAATGGAGAGCTAGGAAAGGCGGTGGCAGCTGTTGAACAGCTTGTGGCCGGTATAGCCAAGAAGAAAAAAGTGGCAAAGGTATAAGCTTTTGTGAAAATTTTCTATCTTTTTAAAACATTTGTTTTGTTCAATTGTTTTCTCTGAAACAATTATCTTTATTGTTTTGACTCTCTCCTACTTCTTCATCTATGTTAGTTGTTGGTTTTCCTACTAGTCTCACTGTCTAAAGTCATGGTCACTTGATTTTGTTATTTTGTGCTATTTACAATTATACGCGCAATTACTGCGCCACTGCGGTGCGCCACACTGCGCTATGCATCATCGCAGGGGATCACGCCTTGTAAGTACACTGCGCGACTTGCGCACCGCAACGTCACGCATGTGTATAATTTCGCAGTGCACCGCAGTTTTAAGCAAAACTGCGGTGCACTGCGGTGACGTCGGGGGTTGGTGGTGTATCATAACTTGCTGAAGGTTGTACGTGCACATGACCAAACAATCAATGGAGTAACATACAGGTTTGAATTCTTCAAATGCTCATTCAATCATATTTTCTTGCTTCTTTTTCAAGTTCCATGATGCCTCTTTAACCAATAAGATATTTTTGATTTGAATTCCGCGTCTGTGTTCTGGTTCTAGCTCAGCACCTTTTTGATCAAGTCCCCAAGATGAACATGAGTGTGATTGGGATAGATCTGAAAGTTTTGGTTTCCATTTAAGATTACTTACCTGCCAATGATCATCAATCTGTTGACTTATTTTATTGGTCCATTGAGTTCAAGATCTAATTTCTGGTCATCAATTGAAAAAATCAGTGTGAAATCTTCAAAAACTCTTCAAGATGTATGTGTGATAGGGCAAAAAGACAAACCATGATTTCAACTGATGTTAGTTCATCAGTGAGGTGACACTGAATCCCATGAGATTCCAATGCTTCACACACTTTGGGATCAATCTCTTGAATATCAGATTCTTCATCATTTGTGGTGAAAACCATCTGTTTGAAATTGGGTATTGTCTTGAAAGCTTTTGCGTTGACTACGCTTAAAGCACACTGCCATTGATATTCAGCGGATATTAGTTCTGCAACAATTGTTCTCACATTCTTGAACATTGGGACTTGCAACCAATGAATTTCTGACGTGATGGGATAATTCAAACCCTGGGTTGCAATGACTCTTAAGTTTGGAAAATCTAAATCTGTAACACTTTTTTCAAGTTGAGTATTGATGAAGAATGAAAAGATCCCTTCTAATGTATCTTTGATGGGTCCAAGGAGTGGTCGTAAACTTGGAGGAGGGTGAATATCAGTATCAGATGCAATGAATTTCAGGGTTTGTTTTGAAGCTTGAATGATATCGTGAATCCCTTCTAAATGGTTGTCATAGGTAAAGGAAAAGTAACATAATTTTGACAGAGCTGGCGGTTTCAAATCCAAACGTCCTAATGAATCACAGTGAAGTGATAAATGTTCAAGGTTAGGTAATAATGAAAACAGTTCTGATAATGATCGTGGATCGTGTGTTCCATAGGATCTGTGAAAACTAAATGTAAGTGATAATGACTTCAAATCTTGAATAGTCTTGATAGCTTCCATCAAATGAGCTGAAATCCGCATGCCACATCTAAAAGTGATTTTTAACCTCTTCAAGTTTTTACCAAGTAATTTGATCATTCTGGCTAGTTGATTCATCGAAGGCGATCCTGATTGTTCGCGAGTTATAGGATCTTCAACTTCCGAATCCCAAAGCTCTTCGATCGTCAATCTCCTAACAGGACACGGAAGATCAGGGTCGAACAAGTCCCTCCAATTCTCTAGTATCACATTTGCGCGTTTTTCATCATATATTAGTATTGTTTTGAAATAAAATTGTATAATAGCTTTAGACCAAGTTTTAGAAACAAATCGTAGCTTGATCAATTCTGTGTATGATGATCCCTCAAGGTAAGGTTCCGAAGCAGTCATGTCGTTTACTCGCCATTCTTTATCTAATTGATTCACATATTCTGTTAGGATTTGATGAATAATTTCGAATGGTAAATTATCAAATCCCTTCATGATCTTATCTTCCTTGTTGTTTTTTGTTCTATATAGTGATTCTTGATTTTCAAAACAATGTGTGACTTGAATTTCTTCGTGAGATGCTGTCGAGGTCCCTTACAATGTCATATTTGTTCAATCGAGGTAATATCCAGAGATAGTCTTGATGCCCCTTTTCATGTGAATCTGTTGGCCGTTTTTGAAGTTGTACTTAAACTGATGAGCCCCAGCTCTGTCCGCCTGTCTGCTCGGGGAGTCGGGGCTGCCACGCCACCTGGGCTCGGCCATGCCAAGACTATTTTGATAGGATCAGGGCTGGGTGATGTGATGAGGTCGGGTCAGAAAAGTAAACTGAAGTCAGCTTTTGTCAAGAGACATCAAAGATGATCAAACGGTTTTGAAGAACGAACTTACGTAGCAAGTGGAATGAACGACAATCACCAAAATCCTATTGATCGATCGAATGGGACATTATAAAACACGTTGACAACAACCCACGAGTAAATCCAAATCACTCATGTTTTTATAAATCAAAAATCGCTAGAAGAAAAGCAACAAACCAGATTATAAGACTACAAGATGAATAGAATCATTGATTTACCATTTGAAACGCTCAATCAAATCCTAGGAGAATATGTGGATCAATTAGATAAAGATATTCTTGTAAACGATGCACCTGATTCGGAACCTTACCTTAAAAAGTCATCATATACAGAATTGATCAAATTACGATTGGTTTCAAAGACTTGGTCTAAGGCTGTTATACAATTTTATTTCCAAACAATCGAGATATCCGATTCAGAACGTGCACAAGTCATTATAGACAATTGGAGTAATGATTTGTTTGGACCTAATCTTCCATGTCCTGTTAAAAGGTTGAAGATGAACGACCTTTGGAATTCGAAATCAGCAGAGTTTTCAATTCCCGGAACATCAAATCCACCAACAATGGATCAATTAGCTAAAATTATCAAATTACTTGGCCAAAGCTTGAGAAGCTTAACGATTACTTTTCGATGTGCAATGCAAATCTCTCCACATTTAATGGAAGCCATCAAGACCATTGACAATCTGAAATCTTTATCCATGAGATTTAATCATTGGTTCAGCCGGTATGAGTATGAAACACACGATCTACCTTCATTATCAGAATTATTTTTATCAATACCAAACCTCGAACATTTATCACTCAATTGTGTATCATTAGGACATTTGGACTTGAAACCACCAAGTCTATCAAAATTACGTTACTTCGCTTTTACCTATGGCGGCGATTTAGGAGGGATACACGATATTGTTCAAGCTTCAAAACACACTTTAAAATTCATTGACTTTTATACTCGTATCCAACCTCCTGTGGATTTACGATTACTTCTGGAGCCAATCAAAGATACGCTGGAAGGTATCTTTCCATACTTCATCGAAGATCAACTTGACAAAAGTGTTACAGATTTGGACTTCCCAAACTTAAGAGTTATCGCAACCCAATGTCTTGTAGACATTTATTGGTTGCAAGAACCGATGTTCAAACATATTAGAACAATTGTTGCAGACTTATATGAAACTGAACATTATTGGCGAGACGTTCTGAAAGAGGCTAATGTGAATGCTTTCGAAAAATTGCCTAATTTTAAACACTTTGTCTTTACTACAGATGAAAAATCTAAATATCAAGAGATTTATTCTGAATTGTTGGAAGCCTTTGAATCTCGTGGAATTCAATGTCATCTTACTGATGAATTAACATCAGTCCAAATCTTGGTTTGTATATTCATTTCTCTCATCACCTAGATATGTTGAGGACAAGAGGTTCTATACTGATCATTTATTCATTGGATGATCAGGAATTGGATAATACGCTGAATGGACCAATGGAAAAAAATCATTAGATTCACTTATTGGTGTACCATTGATTCGAATCCCTTTCTCCCTATTTTATATTTTGACAGATCAGTTCTCTTTGTTTCCAGTAATATCAGTATACTTATACCTTTTTCATTTCCACAACCACCCTATCTTGCTCAAAAAACACAATTACAATCAAAATTTACTAGATCTCCACAACCTCATAGCACACTGAAACACCCCTTCTCATTTCCTTCGACCTACGTCTCTGCCAACCAAAATTACAAATATGTATCTACACAAAACCGCAACATCTTCAAGCCACGATACTATCCGTTATTTCATGGTCTCTCACCTCAATTTCAAGTTTTGCTTTCGTTCTTGAAGATACATATAACTTCGATGATGCGTCAATATATGAATCAACAGTGTGTGGTGTTGCCTTTCGAGCAATTCAATGGCCCATTCACGACCATTCACGACTTGGCTCAGGACTACATGGAACTTTGTCTCAAAGCAAATTGACCCTAAATGATGAAACTATACTCATGTCAAGACTTTTAAAAGAGCATGCTAGAATTATGTGACTAATGAGTCAACACGTGGTAAGAATTGAATAACAGCGTTCGCCTTGGTACAGTCAATCACATTGGAATGTCACTGATGTTGCTTTAATACAAAGTTACAAATTGGGCTGAAGCTCACAAAGTGCTATGTCATTTGCTAGACATTATTCCAAACTATTACTGACATCTCTCAATGGAGAGAGACACAAAAACAACTCCGTCGTGAGTATTTCAGATTCGATCCTGGAACTACATAGCAAAAGAAGTTTTCATATCGATGACAGATTTGAGTCGAGTGTGGTCATCTATAGACATCATCATACTTTAAGCATGATATTGATGTGGATCAGAACCTCTAGCTAATATTCTTTACTTGTGGCTTTTGGATCTAGCTAAACCCCAGAGTAGTCTTTCGCGTTGGTATATTAATATTGTACAAAACCTTTTCAGTTAGACTGATTAACTCGCATTTCCCGGGCATTGTACACAACGATAGTGTTCAGCAGTAAAGACAAATTAGTCCAGGCAAAACATGATCAAGGAACGACGGATTCCTATCTGCTTTATCCTCAGTATTGAGTTCTCTCACTGTTTACTGAGAACTCTTTACACTTGTCTAAAGCTTGTACTTCTATAGGAAGGGTGAGTTAAAATTAAAAACAAAAAGAGGTTGCAAATATGATTAGTAGAGATAAAGTGGATGATGTGGATACTGATGCATACATCAACATATCTCAGTCATTATTGAACATCTTAACTTTCAAAAAAAAATCATAAGAATTGGATTGACTCACAATGTGGGTGCAGAACCAAGGGATTGTGAATATAAAAGAACACACAAAGAGACCTGCTCATAAGTATTGGACCAACTTGCGGGTATCACTGAACAGAGATCTCCTAAACATGTCCTGATAGGCTCCAAAACAATCCGGGATCCCTAGGACATGGTCAAGGGTTCAATTTGGCGCGTTTGCGGGCCTGGTGTCGAGATCGACATCGGGATCGCGCAGAACATTAGATATGTGGGATCGTTCCACAACCAGGATCTTCCGAAAGATAACGATGCAACTGCATTAGAAAACTTCATGTGACACTGCTTCGGATCCCGTGGGCAATAAAAGGGGATATCAGGGGACATCACGGGTCATGTCATTGACTGCTTTGTGACAATGTTTTGCTCCAAGAAACCGAGGCGGCAGACTGGAGGATGCGAGAACTCAAAGGTATCACTATCAGTGCGCAGTGATCTCCCAAACGTGGCTCCACAGAATGCAAAACAATTTGGTATAGATGATACGTGGCCAATAGTTCAATTTGGCGACAAGATTGTAAATATTATCGCGGGCCTGGGCCTCCCGAATCGAGAGCGCGCAGAACATTATGTAGACTTGTTCCACAACTGATATGTGAGACATCCCTTAACATGCCCTAGCGCATTTCCCATCATCAACTTATTTAAACCGTCATTCTGCACTAGCACAACCGCAAAGCTGGCCCTACTCTCTTGCTCTAGCCACGTCAAAGATTTTGGTACTTCAACTTAATCATTGCACTGTCCTCGCTTGTTAGAGCTTAGCTCAATCTTAAAGATTGTGATCCTTTGAGTCGAAGCACAGTTTTGGCATTCGAAATCTTTGCTTGGTGATTCAGACCATTAGAACCTTTAGTACTTACGTTGGGTGTGTACATTTCCGCTCAACTTGCGACCGGATAACCTCAAGAAATGACAATGACTTATCCACAATGTCTATCATACAAGATCTACAGTTGATACACTCTTTAGTCACGCCATACTAGCTCCAAAAAAAATCTCAGCAGACACCTATTTTCTTGAGATTGCATTGATTAATCACATTGGGTGCGTACATTTCCACTCGACTTGCAACCAGAGAAACATACAAAGAGATGTCAATGACTTATGCACAACATTGAATTTAACCTATCTACAGTCAATACGCTCTTGAATACCACCAGATTGGCCTCAAAAACGACATCTCAACAGACCCCTGTTTACTTGAGATATTGTTGATTACAATTAGAATTGAACTCCTCCAGTACACAGTTTTGATGTATGTTTCTTCATGCTTGTTCACAAGATCCTGATTGGCTTACATGTGTTTTTCAGCAACATTTCATGATTAGGTGTTCTTAATCTACCAAAAATGATAGCTGTTATTCTCGCATTACTTGTCAGTCTCGCTTGCCGTGTCAATTGTAACCTTACAGGATTTTCAGACGCGGCAGCCTCGTCGTATGTGCCCGCTGCGACGGACTCGAGGGGATTCAATTCTGGAGTGGCTTCGGCAATTAAATGGAGTCCTGGTACAGAGGGATTGCACCGAAGAATCGAAGAAGGAACAGCATGTGAGCTGGAATACAATAAAAGGGAAGGGGAGATGACTGTGAGAAGAACCATCCGTGGTCGACAGGAAAAGCAAGAAGCAGTCATGATAGCACCTTCACAACCTCGTATGCAGCGTACGGTGTACAGTGAGGACGAAATGCGCCGTATAGCACAGGGAGTGGGTGGTCTGCTGAACGGCAAAAACTCTAACGATTCTACGGCGGGCGGTTTGGTCCCAACTGATGAATCAGATCAGGGTGTCTTTGGGTATTGTGGACAGATCAAGGTCTATGATTCAGAAAATCCTGACCAGCTTCTTTTACAAAATTGTTCTTGCGAAGCCAGTAAGGCTCTAAAGATCAGATGCCACTGCGACGGATGTTCTTCGCTTTTCTGTGTAATCTCAGGGGCAATTGCTGTTTGTTGGATATTTGCACCCGCTGGTTGATCACTGGATCCAGTGCAAGAGCTTGAGGTTTAAGCTTCATGGGTTTTTTCTATTCTTTCAATCATCTTATGTCAAGGTAGTTTTTGTCATCATTTCTGTCTGCTCCTCTCTTGGAGTATGTGTGTTCAGAGCTTAGGCTCTACTCAGGGTGGGGACCATAATGCCAGACCTAACATTCAAGTCCTTCCACTTCTGCCCCTAGTAGGCTTTTTGTTGGGTAGTCTAGGAGGGTAGGAGTGTTTTAGGCCTTGGGGCTTCTCTCAGGTTTCCAACTAGACCTGAGGGATCCGTATCCTCTTGGTGATCTAGCCATGGATTGAGGAGAGGCCTGAGGGAGGACTCACACCAAATGCTGAGGAGTGGGAGGTATCAGACCCCAGGGATAGTGGGTGGGTGCCAAAAATTTGAATAGTGATTAAATTGAGTGTGCAAGCTGTGAGGTAGGAGTACACAGCATACTGAGAAGCTTGAATATGTTTCTGTATTGAAAATGGGTCAATAAAATTTTACACTCAATGATTTACACTCAATATTGAGTGTAAGAATTTAATTTGACATATGTAAGTTAGAATTTTGCATGCGACCTCTTACACAACCAAATGAGGGTAAAGTTTTTAGGTTGTCAATCGCTAATTGGAGCACCAAATCTCTAATTTTGCCTATCAATCAGTTTACACTTGAAAAAGGATGTAAACCCCTTGGATGTTTTTTTAAAAGCCCACCCCAGAAATGGATATTTGCACACACATCCACAAGCTCACCAATCAGCTATGGCTATTCCCGGGGAATCCTGAAATTCCAATCGGAATCCAAAGCACAGCAAGCCCTTGCTGAACGTGCCTAACTCAACTAACTTTCCTCAATCTCAATTGACAAACTCCACTCATCTCAATCTCAATGATAAAACCACTCCCTTGCTGATTTCTTGCACAACCTTTGTCAAAAGCTCCAAGGACAAAGCTCACGGTGTAGAACTCCTACACTGTGTGGTGTAGGCTGAGCCGGAGAGGGGAAGAGTCACTGCGCAGAAAGAGTAACAAGGCGGATGAAACTAAGATTGTCGTAGACTGCCCTCAACCTTCAAATAAAAGTTCAAGAATAAAAAAAATTAACACAGGAGCAATTCTTAACAACTTTCTATCTTCACAATTCTAACCTGTAACACTGTTCTAATAATTCTAAAAGATCCAAAAGAACAGGCATATTCCAATAGTACCCTACACTACACAAAGTGTTGATGCAAAACTATGGTGATTTCCAATTTCCTGTAATCCTTGTTACTTGTGATGATAAATAAAATAAAATAAAATAAACAAAGATACTGTGTAAAGGGATGAGGAATTGAACTGGTGACTGGGATTTTCCAATACAACTGTAAATTTTAGCAGAACTACACTAAATAATAAAAAAACATAAAAAACTACCTAAGACCTATAAGGGATTTGAAGCAAGGATCCGGGTTAGGCCTGGGTAAAGACCTTTCACGTAATGTGAAATGTAGTAATAAAAAATAAAAAAATAAAATAGCTAATCCATTTCAGTCTTGCGCGGGAAAATTTAAGGACTCCTGTACAAAGTGATTATGGTATTTGAGCAGGGATTCTTAAACCATAGTTATAACTTTTGCTCAGTTCTAACAAGTCTTTGTCTCTCGTATGAGCACTGGTCTACCACAGTAGACATTTTGTTTAACTTTGTAGTTAAGCTTATATATACTATTAGTGGTGTGGGGGAGGCCTTTGAGGGAAAAGGCTAAGGATTCCTTGGAAGTCTCAGCATTTTCACCTCATTGGCAAGACCAGAACTCCCAGAGACTAGGGCTTCTCAGCACCGGGCAGGCGGGCGGGTCAAAATTTTGTAAGAGCTTAGAAGCCCTTAACAAGTCTTAAGAATAGAGAAAGCAAAGTTGACAGCGACGGAGAGTTGTGGGGTGAGAGAGTGAGGGATTGCCAATACAGGGGAAAAGAGAATTTTCTCCTGGGCACCACACTCATCTGTCACACGCTTGTGATGGTGACCTTTCACCAGTCCCGGGCCTGTGACTCCACACCGTCTTAGCAACTTACCCGCTTCAGCCTGAAATGGACTGAAGAGCACTGTCTCAGGCTTTGGGAACACTTTCAATCCATTTCAGTCTTCTGCGGGAAAACTTAAGGACTCCTGTACAAAGTGATTATGGTATTTGAGCAGGGATTCTTAAACCATAGTTATAACTTTTGCTCAGTTCTAACAAGTCTTTGTCTCTTGTATGAGCACTGGTCTACCACAGTAGACATTTTGTTTAACCTTGTAGTTAAACTTATATATACTATTAGTGGTGTGGGGGAGGCCTTTGAGGGAAAAGGCTAAGGATTCCTTAGAAGTCTCAGCATTTTCACCTCATTGGTGAGACCAGAACTCCCGGAGACTAGGGCTTCTCAGCACCCAAAACTCTTGTCGGCTTGAGACGAGAGCTCTGAGAAGCCCCTAAACTCTGTTGAAGAGAGTTTCTTGCTCCTTAATTCTGTTCTTCTCCTCCAAATGCTTGTATAGTTGATCATCTGTTCACCTTACATTTGAACTTTGACTGTACAGTGTCAAATATTTTGTGGCTGCATAAAGTCAGTTGAATTTTGAATACTTTCTGTATTACCCGCTTCCTCTGAACTGCATGATGAAACTTTAAACAAATAAGCTACCAGTTACTAATCTACCCGTAGAGCTTCTAATGGTTTAACGGTTTTTGCGTAATCTTTTGCTGAGAATTTCCTCAGGTAAATCTTATAAGCCTCGGACATCCATCTACCTTGTGATTTCAATTCTTCTCTCAAAGCGCCAAGGTTCCAACGGAGCAAGGCTCCGCTTATTCTGAAAGAATGACCGAATAACAATTGATCCTTCTTCAATCTATGTTTATTCCATATGTTTCTAAGGTAAGCCATGGTTTCACTTTTCTTCAACCTAGTCTTTTCTAAACCTGAGCCCAGGATGAATATCCCGTCTGATAACTTCCTCTCTTTCAAATCAAACCAGTTCTCCATTGCTCTCACAGGATCGAGTTTTGATTTTTGTCTGTGTAAGTGTATGTATTGTTTTTCGCCTGGCTTTGTGGTCTTCGCACTGAGTCTGAAAATTCTAACGTAGGAGCTATTTGGACCCCAGGATACATCCTCCCATGTAGGTAAGCTTTTGTTCGGGTTGTCAGTTATCAGCTCTCCTAATCGAGCTGTGCCCCAGAAGGCTGCTAGGGCTAGCGCTAGGACCCCTACTCCCTTTTCCCCTTCATTTTCTAATTTGTTCAAAAGGATTACTAAATCTGAAATCAGTACTGGTGGGTATTTCCTGTCCCGTTCTTTGAACTCTGCTTCTATTTTCCTTGATGCTTTCAAAAGTCCAGCTGCCGCTGAGTCTACGTCGTCTGGATACTTTTGGTTATGAAATATATGCCAGGCTTTTACGCCCGCTATGTATGCTTTGATCGTCGAGGAGCTGACTGACTCATCACTATCGCCCTTTCTTCTTGTTTCTTTGATGCCCAGACAATAAATAATTTTAAGGTTTTGGGAGAGATTGGTAAGAGTTCTTCCCTGTGTATTCCTTTCACTATTGAGAACCGTATGAGTTTCACTATTGCTGAGTTGTAATGTTTTAGAGTACCATCCGCCCATGTACCTCTTAGGAAGTGTTGTTGTACTTTGTCTTCTTCCAATTTATCAACACCTCGAGCATCCTGCCAAAAGGATTTAAACAACTTTGTCAGGCGGATCAGCTCCTTCGTTTGGTTGGCGGTTTCTGAGGAAAGACTTTCTTTCCTTCTTCCCATTTGACAGTGGGTGTCCTTCTGTCGGTGATGTCTGGGAAAGTATGTGATTCAGATCAGTCGGGACAGTTACTAAGACTTCATTGTACCAAAAAAGGTCTCCTAGGTAGCCTCTTGATAAGCTATCCGCCTTATTCTCTTTCAATGTAACACGTCTCTCTTTGATGTTACAGCCTAAAACCGTAAGTACCCTTTGTATCTGTTTCCACTCTTCATTTGTTTGCTTATCTTTGGATTTTCTCTTTTTTATCATTGATTGGGTAGTCGTATTATCTGTGTCCACCCGAAAGGATTTCCCTTGTATGTTCATCACTTTTGCTAACACCAAGAGCCCTAGCCTGACAGCAACCGTTTCTGCCCAAGGAATTGTGCGCTTGTCCAAAACTAGATCTAGACTTTGGCAACCCTTTACAAATCCGAAGCATGCCCAGTTGGCACCTCCTAACACCCCGATTCCAAAGGATGAGGAAGCGTCGCCTACCCACTCTACCTCCAGTGGTTTTGGGTTTGGAATCAAGGTGAGTGACTTGAAATTGGATAGACATATCCTCCATTCTAGCAGATTGCTCCTGAAGTCTTCTGGAGTTGTCCGTAGTGCTTGTTTTTCTTTCCAGCTTTTCAACCATCTATAGAACGAGTGTAGGTAAGCTGTCATGTGCGGAACTATGTGTACCGTGTGTCCCAGCTTCCCCACCAGACTTTCGATTGTGTCAAAACTCCATGTTTGGTCTACCACAAGTAAGTCTTCTACTATCTGAAGTCTTTCCGCCAACTTCTCCGCTGGTAGTCTTACTGTGTGATTTTTCTTGTTCCAGATGAAACCTGTATAACATTGTTCTTCAGCGAAATCATGGTTTTTGGCCATGTTAGTTTTCACTCCTAACGTATTGCTCAGGTTCATGATGTCTGCTAATGAGGTTTTGTCTCCCAGTCTCCTCAATATGAGGTTGTCGTCGACCCAGCGGAAAATTGCCCATAGTTTAAGAATTGTCTTTATTATTGACTTCCAGACTTCTGCCGGTCCGCCAAAGACCCCACAGCTGGCTACACCTCCAAATCCCACCGCGAGATCTATACATACTCTGCCGTAGAAATCAATTATGCATAGAAATCGTTGTTGACAAGGGTGTACTGGGAGTTGTCTATACGCCTTTGCCCAGTCGAAAAAGGCCAACTCCCACTCTCCCGGGTTGTTGCATAG